GGGAGCCAAAAAGCCAATAGAATTGGGCTGGCCAAGAGGGGAAGGGCGACTGGCTTCTTGCTTGTCTGTGAAGGGCATGGATCCAGGGGTTCAGCATTCCTGATTCCAGGTGAAGAGAGCACCTGTCAAGAACCTGTAAGGAATGGGAATAACCACATTCAGGGGTTGCTCTGGAAGCGGCATTTCCTGATCCTTTACCACATTCCACACAGCCGGCCTCGCAAGTCACCCTCAGCACCACCCTTATTTGGGTATCGTCGCTTTCTATTACCGATGAAGGAGACGAGGCTTAGAGGCTCAGAGATATTTGCCAAGGTCACACAGCGAGGTTACTGAGCCAGGAGTGGAACCCACCGATGGCCCAGCTACGGACCACCTCTGCCTTTGGCAGGAGATCAGAACCATGGACAGCCATGGCAGCAGGGGCGACAGAGAACGGACTTCAGTGGAGTCCCAAGGAAGAGGGGACTATGGTCCCCTAAGGAGGTGGCTACCCGCTGGGCTGAGGTCCCAGCAAGAGCAAAGCAAGCCTCAAAGCTCAGAAGATAAAAAGCATATGGTGGGGCTGGATGCTGACGCTGGCAGTGTAGTCAGTGGCATGATTTATGGGGCAACTAAGTGCACAGACAAAGTTAACCAGCACTCTAGACCTATGTCCATATTTCCTGGGAGACTGGTGAGTCCCTGTCACCTAAGTTGAATCTGCCAGGTGTCTGTGTAATCAGAGGAAGAGGGGACTACCAAGTCACACAAACTTGGGGATGGTGGGAGAGGGGGTCTGCAAGCCACCTGACTCCCCTTACAAAGCAGGGTCTCACATGGGGTGGCCCGGTTCTCCTTCTGTTAGCACAGCTGCTTAGAGTCAGGCCTCCTCCCTGGACCAGTTAGTTAGCATAGCGAGGACAGGATCTTGGAAGAGCAGCACAATAGCCCCTGCCAGCCATGGGGTAGGCATGCGGGAAGAACCAGTTCCCCAGTGAGTGGACTGTCCCACAGAAGGAGGGCGAGTGATGAGCTAACCCAACCGCCCCCACCCCCAGTCAGTGGCGAGGTACCCGTGAGGGCTCTCAGGTAGCAGCTAACCTGCAAGTGTTCGTGGAAAGAGGCCAGGGGTGCAGGTAGACTTCAGTCCTCTTCCGGGCCTTGATATGGGGAGATGAACTGTGACCATAGACATTGGCTTGGGCGCTCTGCAGGAGAGACACTGGGCTGTCTGTGCGAATCCAAGTGACTGCCAAAGAATGAGCTGGTAGCAAGCACCTGGCTGCAACATGCCTGCCGATCCTGAGGGTCACTGAGACTGGAGGGATGACTAAGGTGGCCTAAAGCCTGAGTGCCAGACAGGCACTTGGGCCCGGTTTTCCTGTGCTGCTTAAGTGTGATCTGGTCCTGACTCTGGGCCATTTTCTTCCTTTCCGCTACTCTGGCATCATCAGTAAAATAGACGAAAACTCAAATGAGATCATCAGTAGATGAAATACCTCCTCATCGTTCATAGTTCTGGCTGCTGGGCCGAGACTTGATTGAGACTATTGTGGACCATTCCTAGTGACTTCTCAGCATTGCCTTTATATCTGAAGGATTCCCAAAACCCGTGGCCAGGGAATGCAGGGGGTACCATGGCTAACGAGGCGATTTTCTTCTTATGGTAGAAATGCTTTCTGCTTGCTGGTTTTTGTTGAATAATGGATGGCGGATGACTGCATTGACCGAGACATAGACAGTAGGCCTGGCCTTGCAGGCTGAGGGGCCTCGGGCAAGCCCTTTGACCTGCTCCCAAAGTCCATGCCTGGCTTAGGGGTCCTCTTCCTAGGATGGGGGCAAGTGCCGGAAAAAGCAGAGTGGGTCAGTTTCGCTTGAGTCTGAGTCACAGCTTTGGGGGCATCTGCTAAAAATGCCAGCCAGAACACCTTCTGTGCATTTGGTGAGTGGGATGGAGAGACATTTACTAGTTGCTTCTGCCCAAGGAGATAGATGCCTTTGAGGTAATGTTCTCTGCCATTTCTTTGAAATTGAGACCCTGTCGGTGTCTTTATATAAGAGCATTATAGATACGTGGACAGGATGAAAGAGATGAAGGTGGGGTAGCTGATAGAAATCTTCCTTCCCTTCTACTTGTAATCACACCGTAGAGAAAGGGCATTATCTTCTGGCACAGCATTAATTATCACTGAAAGATGCCTCTGTTGTTATTCACATTGGTGCTGGTGGTACTGTGGCCCCAGGCCACTTACTAGGTGCAAGAGTCTTTTTCCATCTGTATAATGAAACTTGCTCTCTCTCTACCAACTTGCCCACTCTCACACCTAATGCCCACCGTCCATTTTTCTTGCCTGATGACATCTGAGCTGCTGTCATCTGCTTGGGGTCAACAGAGTTTCTAATTATCCCATGATGCAAGTGGGAGAGCTGGGGACCTAGACAAGGCCTGCTGGGACAAGCAGTGCCCCGGAGTCCCTGGGCCCACTGTCCCATCTTCCCAGCCAGCTTCCACATCTGCCTCTCAGCCCCCTTTGTCCAGAAAGCAAGGCCAGTCCCAGGGAGCATTTGGGGGAAGGGGCGCAGAGCTAGGGTAGAGACAGTGCCAGCCTGCTAGGGCCCGCTCTTGCAGGGTCCTACCTGTGTGTCCACCCTGCAGGTCTCCTGGGGGCCAGAGGCTTACCTGGGGCCAGCTTGCTGTGTCCTGTCCACCGTGTTAGCCTGGGCTGCACAGCCCCCCTCTGGGATGCTAAGGTAGCCACTTGCCCTCGTGTCTACGTAAAGAATCGATGAGATCTTCCATGAAAAGCACAAGGCAAGCCGGGAGCATGGCATACACCTGTAATCCCTGGGCAATTCAGCAAGATGCTGTCTCAAAATTTAAAAAATAAGAAAAAGGCTTAGTTCAGTGTGAAGGGTTCAAGCCTCAGTACAAAAAAAGCATGGAACACAGTACCTGAATCAGAGCAGACCTTCAGGGCAGCAAGCATTTTTGGAGGGCCTGTCCCCTGCCAGTCAGTATGGATATAAACATGCAAGAGGCATGATCTTGGCCCTCTGGATGGTGGGGATGGTGGAGTGACAAACTGGGACACTCCCACTTATACACACTGTTGTGGGAGGCTAACACAGCCAGAACAGAGGGAAGAGGGGTGTGGCAACCACCTGGAGATTCCGGGTGGGCTTCCTGGAGGAGGCGGCTCCGGGCACAGGCTGTGGAATTGGTCAGATCAGGCGGCAGGATGGGGTGGGGCGAGAGTTGCAAGCCACAGCTAGCACGGATGAGAGACGTACAGCAGGGCTGGCTCTGAGAACCTTAAAGTCAAGCTGTGTGGCAGAGTCCGGAGGCAGCTGGGGGGACTTCTCACCCCTGCCAGTACCACCCCACCCCTCTGTGTCTGGGCCTCAGAGCTACCTATGAATGCCAGTAGCCGGAGCCTCTACCCAGAGGCCCCCATGGACTGATAATGTGTCCTGGCGACTGGGAAGGCACACATAGCACGGGGTGCTCTCCACGAGCTGAACCGGTGAACGAGACCAACAATCTCAGGCACCAGAGGAAACAGCAAATCAGCTCTCTCTGGATGGAAGGCCTCCTTCTGATGATTACCTGATCTTTATCTGTGCTTCTCAAACCACCGCTTCCTTGAGTCATGCAGAGGTCATTTGGAGGCAGCCACTATGGCAGCTCCAAAGGGCCTCACTGCATGTGCTTATAGGCGAGCCAGGGACATCCGGGAACCCATGCTGCCCTCTGCTGTCCCTCTGCCACTTGTCTTATGAGATCTTAGCTGCACCTTTTCAAGGCCCATGAGCAGAGAGGGTGTGCCATAGGTGTGGCCAAGGGCCCAGATGTAGATTCCATAGAGTCCAGGACTGAGGGAGCCACCCAGCCGGAAGGCTGGCCATTCGGCCCCCACCAGAAGTCTGCTGTTCCATAGTCTCTGACACTAAACCCCCAATAGGAAAGGAGCTCCACACACCTGCGCTGTGTGTTAGCCATTCTAGCATCTTTCAGCTATGGGAAGAGAGTAGCTCTAGTTGCCGCCAAAGGGCTAGTTTTGAGCTGGTGAAGGGCCAGTTCTGTAGCTTCCCGATTGTTGTTTTTATAGCACAAGTAATGCATGTAAATATATGTGTATATCTAGACATTAGAGAAATACATGTGCAATACATGTAACCTGCATCTAATATCTATACATATACATATGGTGGCTATGTAAAAAATGTAGACATTATACAAAAACAAATAAAAACACTTTTTCACACCCCATTCCATCCCTTCTTCAGAGGAAATCACCCATATCATGAGGGGTGTCCTTCTAGACACTCTCCTGAGCATTTACACAATAAATGCCTGAATATTTATAATGTTTTTTCTTTATACAAAAAGGGTTCTATTAGTATGCAGTGGCCTGGTTCATTCACGTCACCCAGTTCATCTTTGATTCTTTTCCATCCTTTTTACTGGGGTGGAATATTACATAGTTTGGATGAAATACTCCATTCTGCTAATGATGGGTTTGTTATTACAGACAATACTGCAGTCAGTCTCTTTGACCCTACATCTTTGAAAATGCAAGCTGATATCATTTTTTAATAGATTCCAAGGCCTAGATTCGTGGGGTCAGGGATAACACAGATATAAAAAGCAGGCCAAACCCTTCCAGCTTGTTCCACTTTCCGCTCTCACCATCAGAAGTGTCTTGTTTCTCACACTCTTGCCCCTGTTGGACATTATCATTAAAATATGCTTTTCAGGCTGAGGAGGGAAACAGTTGTATCCCGCTAATTGCTTCGCTTTGTATGTCTTTAATTATGAATGCGCTTGAACACTTTTCGTGTTTATTGACCATTGGTATTTATTTTTCTGTAATTAGCCTGTTCATAGACTTCAGTGATTTTTCAGCTGTGGGGGACTCTTATGGACTTTGGATATTAATCACTCGTCTGTTCTGTGTGTTGCAAGTATTTTTTCTCAGTATATTGTTTGTCCTTTATCTTTGTTTATGTCCTTGCAGTCCACCTTATCCCCATATCGGCAGCAAAGGATGGAGCGAGCAGCAAGAGCCGGAAGAGGATCCTGCCCGACCCAGTGACGGAGCCCCGGGTGACGGACCCGGTTTATGAAGCCCTTCTGTACTGTAACATCCCCAGTGTGGCGGAGCGCAGCATGGAAGGTAGGCCGGGCTGTGCCACCCCGCGCGGCCTTGATACCCAGTGGGCACCTTCTGAGATCAGTTCTCCAAGCAGCAGAGCTCAGAGGTTAGGAGCGGGACTGTTTCAGCTGTGATCTTGCAGTGCCCCTAGGCTGTGCCCTGGGATGACATCCCGAGTCTTCGCCTGCTCCTCTGTGAGATGGGGTGGCTGTCAGTGCCTGTGTAAGAGCTTTGAAGCGCACCCAGGTCACGAGTAGCCCCGGAATGCTTACCATAATCATGATCTCCAGGGTGTCTTCAGCGGGCTGGAGAGGTGGCCTTGGATAGACTCTCGGGCCTGCCCCCAGCTGCTCCTCTTTCCACAGCAGAGCTGGGCTAGGCTGAGGCTGTGCGCAGGCTGCTTGCACTGTGTTGCCGGGAAGGCGGGGAAAATGCAATCCATCCGGGAACTTCGGCTGCGTGAACGTGTGTCAGGGATGGTGGGGAGTATTTCTTTGTACCCTGCCATGTTTCACGAAGGATTTAAAGGCGAGGCTACTGTTTCCAGTATCCTTGTGAGCCTCCGCATGTAAGTGAGGCTCCCTGAATAGTGTGCCCATCTGTCTCTCACTGCCTCCAGCCGTGCCACACCCCAGCGCCTCCTTGTCCTGTCCAGGAGGCCTGGGAAGGAGGTACACGGCGGCCCTGCCCGTGGCCTGGACCCACAGGCAGCAGCTCTGCAGGCTCTTTGCATTCCCTGGGGCCACTTCCTCTTGATTCCCGGCAGGGTATGGCCAGGTCTCTCCCTCAGCACTTCTGAAAAGGATTGGCATTTATTAAATGATGACCAGACAATGTGCTTCTGTCCTGCAGGTCACGCCCCACATCATTTTAAGCTGATCTCGGTGCAGGTGTTGATTCGCCATGGGGACAGGTACCCCCTCTACGCTATTCCCAAAACAAAGCGGCCAGAAATTGACTGCACCCTGGTGGCTAACAGGTAAATTGCACTTCTTCTTCTAAAAGTCGTTTTCCAGCGTCCGCCGTCTTCTTCCGTGGAGAATTACAGGGCAGGGCAGGGCAAGGACCCGCACTTGGTCATTACATCCTGTTTGGAGGAGCCTGAGCGGCCGCAGTGGTGCATTGAACACCACTGTACAGCTGGAAAGACTGAGGCCCACGGAGGCAGGGACAGCTGTGTGAGGCAACACCACAGATAAACTGAGGATGGAGTTCAGGCCAGTCTGAGGCCCGCTCTCTTATCTTGCGGTTCTCCACTTTGAGACAACTGGGATGCAGTGCAGTGAGCACTGGGTTGGGAGTCCTCCAGCCCAGCTCAGCTGTCCCTCCTGAGCTCAGCCTCCCGTCTCTGAAATGGGGCTGCTGGGGCTGGATGGGAGGGAGGAGTACGGGACATGATACACAGGAAGGTGTGCTGGCAACTGCAAAGATACAAATGCGAGACAGTATGCCAGCCATTTAATTTTTCACAGCCGTAGAGACAGTTTGGTTCTGGTTGAAAGCCCTGAGGATGAAAACTAATTGAACAGAGGATGGAAATTGCCTGTATGGAAATGGCACGCCCTAAAATTAGAAGCACAGTTACCTGTAAATTGATGGACCTGGCCTGAGCGAATGTGTCTGGGGGCACATAGCATCCCTCGCAGTTTCCTGAATGAGGTCAGGGGCTGGAAGGCAGTGCTCACCAGGGAGACGTTATCCTGATAGAATGCTCGTGGAGTGCCAGCCTGCTGTGGGTAGGGCCAGCCTGGTGCAACCGCGCATTGCCTCGCTGTACCCCGGGCTCTTTTTTAAAAATGGCATAAATGGAGGAGGCTTCAGGTTAACTCTTTGCTGGCAGCTAGTGTGGGGAAGCGTAAGCAACCCCTTCACGGGCTCCTCCGCCCCTCCCTCATGCTGGGTCACGGTGCTGCGGGGCTGTGTACTCGTGTCTTCTCTCTCACATTTAGCAAACAGAAACATACATCCATGCCTCTGGGTTGGAAAACATGCTGATCGGAGTCCGGCTGTACGGACCCCAGCTTTCACTGCAGGCCGAGTCCCCACCCCCCGGACATTAGTTCCGGACTTTCTGCTGAGATCCTCTGCTCCTCCGTCCCCCACTGCTTGCTGGGTCCCCGCCCTTCATGCCTTTTTGCCTGCTGTACTTCCCTGTCCTGCATCCCCGCTTGGCCAACTCCTACAGCCCCTTTGAGGCCCTGTGCAGCTCCCCCTCCTCTGGGAAGCCTCCCCTGGTGTATTCACACTGAGGTGGCTCTGCGGCTCCGTCAGCTGCTGACCATACCTGGCCCACACCGAGCAGGGAGCTGGACAGCAAGGGTGTCACGGCATGCAAGGTCAGAGTCAGGATCTGAGCCACCTCTCGAGTGGCCTCAGTGCTGAGGCAAGGGTGGAGGTCGCTTGTGCTGGGCCTTACCCCTTCAGTTTCTGGACCCTGGGGGATGTGCTCAGCACGTGGCGTGGGGCTGGGGACCCACTCAGGGAAGCGGCTTTCCTCCATTCAGCAGTGCAGTGTCAGTGCATGAACGGCTGGCACAGTGCTCGCTTCAGCGGCACACGTGCTAAAATTGGCATGATACAGAGATTAGTATGGCTCCTGCGCAAGGAGGACATGCAAACAACTGGCACAGCCCTGCTGTTGCTGTCTGGCTGGAACTGGTCATTTGAACAGCTGCAGAGAGGCAGACCACTGGACACTGAGCCGGGAGGACTCGGGGCCACCTCTCAGGTACTTTGTGGACAATAGCATACTTCTACCCCAGCAGCAACCAGCATCTGCTCCCTTCCTAGCTGGGCTGCATAGTCCTAGAAAGGAGAATTTGAATGGCTTGGCTCAGACCAGGTGCCTGCCCCCAAGACTAGCCAGCTGTTGGCTACAAGGTCTTAGAGGCCACTTTGTCTCTTCTCAAAGAGGGGCCCATTGGCCGGACTCCCCTGGCAGAGAACAGGGCTTACACTTGTCTCTACCTTATCCAGACTGTGGGCTCTTCCAGGGCTCAACTGCACCTTGTTTCACCAGGCCCACCCCGGAGCCTGATGCAGGAGCCTGATGGCCCCCCAGTGCCTCATGCAGTCATAGCTGGGGCTTTTTGGAGGTAGCTGGATCTAGGCTGTGTGAATGTGGATTAAGGGTGTAATACTCGGATTAACAGTATGTGATGCTGGAAGCCCTACCTTGGTTGTGAGTGGTACCAATCAATAGTCTTACAGCCTGGATGGAATATAAAGGGAGAGAGGGAAGGTAGGCTGCTGCTGCTACTGCTGCTGCTGCTGCTTGCTGCTCGCTGCCTTCTGCTCGCTGCCTTCTGCCTTGCCATGAACTGTTTCTCCTCTGCGACACCCTTCTCCCATGCCACTCTGCTTTGGAGCCAGCTCACTATGGACTGAAATGTCTACAAATTGTGAGCTGGAATAAATCTTTCCTTCTTTAACTTTGGGTGTTGGGTATTTGAGAACATTGAGAACATTGAGAACATGAGAACATTGCAGAGTGAACACAGGACCTCAGTGAAAACCACAGGGCATGAGTGCGTGCTGTGTGTTCCTGCCCTGTGCTCTATCATGGATTTAAGCTATGGCCATGGAATTCCCTGAAACCTTTGCAGCCTGTTTGACATTGGGCAAATCATTTCCCTCGCTGGATCACTTCCTCTGTTCTGGAACAAACATAATAATATCTCCCTAACATCACCCTCATGAGGTCCACATTAGATGATGGGCTAAAACATTCAGGTTGCTCCACACCAAAGACCCAGTAAGTGTAGCATCGTTGCCCTCAGCAGCCTGGAGGCCTTCAGGGCCTGGCCTCTTTCCCTCTCTGCGATGAACTTGTTCACCCGGCCAAGTCGGTAGGGCCCTTACGTGGTCACCTCAGTGGCAGGACCCTCTGGTGGAGCCGTGTCCAGAGCTCCTGTTTAGGAGGCTCAGTTACTGCAGACCATTCACTCTGCCTGCCTGTGTCCTCAGTTTCCTCTGCCCCGTTGTCATTGTGTTGAGCATCCTGCCTCTGTGGGAGCTGCTGAAAATGGTCTGTGAAGAGGGCAGAGTGTGCGTGGTTAGTTACCATAGTCCCCCAATCCAAGGGCTTGCTCTTCATAGGTTAGGTTACCTGTGGTCAACAGCAGTCCAGAACTATTAAACAGAAATTCAGGAAATGGAGAAAGAATGCATCCACCTAACTTGTATTACCATATGCTGTTATACCCATTACCTTCTATTCTTGGTTTTGTTGTTGATTTCTTATGAACTGAACCATATCATAGGTGCCTAACTTATAAATTGAGCTGTATGATATGCATGCCTGTATAGAAAATACAACACACACATGGTTTGATGCAACCAGCAGTTTGCGCCCCCTGGGTAGCTTGGAATGTAACCTCTGCAGATAACGAGGACTGCAGTGCTCAATGTCATTCCATTGGTTGCATCTTTAAACGTAGTAAAAGATGACTCATCCCCATAAACAGGGACTTAGCGTGAGCAGGAACCCCAAGGCAATGAACCCACTCTGGGCCAACAGCTGTCCCAGATGTGGGATCTGGGTCCTGCAGCACCTGCTGTCTTTCCAGCTGCTCTGAAGTTAGTGATTCTGGGACCTCCTTATGGGTGGTGAGGCCCAGAGGGTGCCTGTTACCCTAGTGCTGTCTGGGCCAGCAGGTGGGAAGCCCTGAGCTCAGTCCCCCAGAAGCTTGTTGTCCAAACAGGTCGGCCACTGCCCGGCTCTGTCCACACTGACCCATCCTGTGGCCCTTGGGGTTTTTGAGGTGGAAGCTGCCTCACCATGAATGCCAGGTGCTGTGTGAGACAGGTGCTATTCTTGCCCTCATACTACTATGCTTAGCCAGCATTAAGGTCATTAGCCAAGTATATAATTGTGGTTAGTAAATGCCTTTTTTATATTAATAAAATATGAATCAAATATGCTTCTCTATATCCAAAAAAAGAAAAATATTGACCTTAGTCAGCATTCAGCAAATTGTAGTTTTATATTCCCGTCATTTACTAGGTACTGTCTGGTTCGTAAGCCAGGAGGCAGCACCGGAGCAGGCTGTAAATGAATCAAAGGCCACCCTGTAAAGATCTGGGAACTAGTGTCCAGACAGAAGGAGCAGCAAGTGCAAAGGGCCTGGGGCTGGAAGGGCTGGGCATGCATGAATGCCAGCAGGACCAGTGAGAAAGGGGTAGAGTGGGGTTCTGTGGATTATGGAGGGGAGGCTGTCTCTGATCTCAGGGAGTGCACACATCTCTCCAGAGATGGATCAGGTCCTGGTACCTGGTAAGCTATATTGAATGGTAGCCATCACAGGTAGAAATGACATCTGCAATGAAGAAAGAAATGAAAGAGCAAGATGTAGACATGGAAGTGCTTTGGCACACTTGGAGGATGACCTCAAGAGGGGAAGCCAGACCCGGCCTGGGCAGGGAGAGGGAGATGCAGAAGCAGGTTGTCAGTGTGGTGGGCAATGTCCCCTCGGTAGTGAGCTCCAGCTGGGCAGAGCTGGGTGGGCCATAGCTCGGCACGGTGAAGCCCCCGGAGTTAGTGTCACCCACCGGCCCTGAGTGCGGAGTGCAGGCTGGGCCATCGGTGCCTCAAGTGCCCTGCTAGGGGGCGGGGGCTCCAGGCATGAAGGTGCGGAGGGAGCCGGGCAGTGAGGAGAGGACAGGATGGAGGTCTGTGCCAGCTGCACCGCGGGCCTGGGCTGACAGCAGCTGGTGGTGTTGCTGTTGCTGCGGGAGTACTCAGAGTTGAAGCCCTCACCCCGAAAACAGCCTCTAAGGCTTCCTGTGTCCTTCCGAGGCTCCTGCGTCTGTCCCTTTCTGCTCCTGTCCTCGCCCTTTCTGCTGCCCAGCTCTTCCGCGGCGCTCGGAACAGCTCTGCTGCTCCCTGACGCCAGGGGGCGCTGCTCGCAAACGGCTGTCGGGCCAGTTCCCTCACCTTTCGGGACTGGGCTTACATGTCACCCTCTCAGCACGGCCTGCGCGGAACACTCCGGTTAAAACGGCAGGGACGCTTGTCTTACCACACACTCCTTACTACCTTCTTTTTGCCATCACAGCTGTTACCTTCCAGCACACACATTTATGGCTGTCCTTGTGTATCATCTGTTGCCCCAGGCAAGAATGTATACTCCTTACCCGAAGGCAGGGTATTTTGTTTTTGTTCACAGCTGTTACATCCCAAGTGCCTAGGACAGTGCCTGACACGTACATAGAAGAGGTGTGACAGATGTTTGTTGAATGAATAAATGATGGAGGCTGGAACTCAGAGTGGCAGCAGAGATGGCCTTAGAGAAGATCGAGGTGGGGTCCCTGGACTCTGTAGAAGGCTGGGCAGGACGAGAGAGGGGAGAGTATGCAGGTGTCAGATAAGGCTTGCACAGGCGGTGCTGCCCTTGCCTGGAACAGACAGCACAGAAGAAAAGCGGGAAGCCGGGCCTGCAGGCTGCCGTGCTGCTGGTGAGCCGTCTTGGGATGGTCTGGTTTCTCACTGGCAGCAGTCGGGGGGCTCAGCGGCACTGTCTTGCTGGCGGGGTGGAGGTTTGAGGGTCTTCGGCCGTTGAAGCTGGGGGCTTGAATGAAGTCACAGTCAGAACCTGTGCAGCTAGGCAGGAGCCCAAAGCAGGGCCCTGGAAAGCACAGCCCTGCCCTCAGCACCGGCAGGAGAGGGAGAGGGAGAGAGAGGAGGAGGAGGAGGAGGAAGGCCCGGCTCGGAGCAGGAGGTGCAGAGGGCACCGGACATGTCTGCTTAGAATTTCATTTTCTTAAAATTGGAAAGAACAGATTCTTTCATTGGCTTCAGTTTTGTGGGGTTTTTTTTGTACCAGGAATCGAACTCAGGACCTTGTGCTTGGTAGGCAGGTGCTTGTGCCACTGAGCTACATCCTCAGCCCCCTGGCTTCAGTTTTAAAAGTCTGCTCTGTTCCAGCTTCCAGGCAGGCGTCTGTGCTGAGCAGAGCTCGCTGGTGAGCCGTGCTGGTCTTACACCGTTCTCAGCCAGCCTGGGCTGTGCAGACCTCAGGCTCGGGTCGGGTGCAGGTTGGCCTCAGGGTTCTGGCTGGAGCTTTGTGGCATTAACAGATGTGAACAAGGCAGGTAAAAGTGTAAGGATTCTGAAGAGAAAGGGTCGAAGGCTTTACATAGTATCACTTGATGTTTTAATCTTGGCTATGACAGCAGATTTCCAGTGAAGTCCCAGTTAGGAGAGTTTGGTCTGAACAAAAATCTGACCTCACAGATACAGTCGTGTTTGGATTAGTGAACCAAGGCTGTTGTAACAGTGAGACTCAAGAATACGTCGCCTTCAATAACAAAGCAGTTGCTTTCTTTTTTTTTTTTTTTTGGTACTGGGAATCGATCTCAGGACCTTGCGCTTGCCAGGCAGGCACTTGTGCCACTGAGCTATATCCCCAGCCCAGGAATTGCTTTCTAGCTGGGCACAGTGGTGCATACCCGTAATCCCAGCACTCTGGGAGGCTGAAGCAGGAGGATCCTGAGTTGAAGCCTGGCCTAGGCAACTTAGTGACTTAGCACAAGGTTGTCTCAAAATAAAAACAAATAAACAAACAAATAAGTAAAGGGCTGGGAGTGTAGCTTATTGTGAAAGCCCGGGGTTCAATCACCACTATCACACACAAAAGCTGTTGATGTCTTTGCTTGAAGTCAGGAGACGATATTCCTGTCAGGTAACGGCTCCCTGGGTCACTCTGGGGTCCAGGTTGTTGCTTCCCCCACCCCCCAGGGTGTCCACTTGGCTCCCTTGGTTGCTGCTGTGACAAAACAGTGTCCAGAGGGAAGGAAGAGAACAGAGGGGGTCTCAACCCAGAAAGGGCACCCAGCCTTCCGTTCGACCTGCAAATACTTAGCGGCTCTGCCTAACTCTAGGACTTCAAAAGGGGGATACAACCAAGTTCCCAAGAAAGGGGGCAAGGATTTTAGTGTGCAACTAGTAATCTCACCCACAGCGGCACTGGTTTTTAATACTTCCGTCAAGATCCGCGTGCTGGAACAAATACTGTGGGGACTCATGCCACTGGCTATAACAGACAGTGAAAGCCCTGATGCTGTCACACGGCATCTGAGGACAGCATCCTGCGTGGCTGAGCTCCCTCCCTGAGATCACCAGAGCACCGGCCCAGTGCTGGGTACCCTCTGGGCTCTAGGGATAGGGCCAGGGATAGGCAGGCAGGGCCTGGACAGTCAGGTCCAGCGACTCAGTTTACCTAGTCTTCCTCCTGCTAACAAGGGGCATCCATTTGTTTTCTATTCTGTAGCGGAAATTTTTCCTCCACAAATCCTCATCTTTCTATGCCATTAAAAAAACTGTAATGAACACAATTAGCCCTCAGCGCCATTAAGTAGGCACATGCCCTGAAAACGTGGGCCTCAGCCAATACCTTCAATAGTGAAATTCCTTTTCTAGGGCTGGGGATTTAACTCAGCGGCAAAAGCGCCTGCCTGGCATATGCGAGGTCGTGAGTTCGGTTCCCAGTACTGGAGAAAAACCAAAAAAAAAAAAGAAATTCCTTTTCTAAAACTGGCCACCAAGCTCCCTCAGATCCTCAGATCTCACCAGCGTGAAACAGTGGCCTGGGCCGGGACATCTGAGCCTGATTGAGGGTTGGTCTTCGCGCATGTGGATTCATATTGGCAGCCTTGTGGTCTGTCTGGACATTTTATTTCCTAGTTTGCAAACATTTATGTGCGTTAGCCTCAGGCAAAGTGAAACACTATTTTTATGGAGAGACATAATTCCCTGCAGCTATGCAGGGTGATTGGTTAGACTCTACTGTATGCTGGAATTAGTATTGTATAATTTTAAAACATTTTTTAAAAGATGGATTTTTCGAGCTTTATGTTTTGGAAAGATAATAAACTCATTTTGGCAGCGGTTTTGAAAGCATGGCCGAAGTTAACTGGGCTTCCGGACAGCAGGGGTTTGCCATTAGAAGAATTGATCTTCGCTTCTTTTCATAGGCTGATTCATATTCAGTTACGTTGTAAACTATTCGCGTCTGCCCACTTTTGGGTAGCTGGAAAATGTATACGCATTCATGGGCCATTTCATTATTCAGAGGAAAAGTGTGTACATGGACAGGTCATTTCATTATCCACGGCAATTATATACCGGTGGGTAGAAAGATAAGTTATATCTTGACTTACACATACACCTATAGCAGAAATATCTCTGATCTCATGAAGAGACTGACTTTTAGCTATAAATGTATATGCACAGCTTTGAATTGTTGCAGAGTCTTAGTTGATTAGCCGGGGCAGGAGGATCACAAGTTCAAGCCCAGTCTGGACAATTTAGCAAGACCCTGTTTTAAATTTTAAAAATTTTTTAAAGGACTAGGGATACAGCTCAGTTTGAAGGCCCAGAATTCAGTGCCCAGCAGTGCACACACACACACACACACACACACACACACACACACACACACAAAGGCCGGGGGTGGGTGGTTGGGGCAGGCATTGGGGAAAAGGGGGCACTGGCTTGATGTGCCCAGGACCACACTGGAGCCGAGAGAGCCCTTAAGGGAGGCCGCTCAGCAAGGTAGGGCCAGGACAGAGGGACAGAGGGACAGAGGGACAGGCTGTGTCAGTTCTTCCCAGCACATGGCAGTGTGGGAGGGCTGCGGTGCGTCAGGGCTGCCTGTGTGGTCAGCTCCTCTCTCTGTGGACAAGACAAGGTGAACAGGCCATGACTGGACAGCAGGAAGGCCAGCGAGGGGCCTGGTTCCATCCAGAGAAGAGCTGCCCCGGGCCAGGGCTGGCTGTGAGTGTAAGGCAGAAAGAGGTGGGGGACACCTTGAGGGCTCCCTGCGCAGGGCACGCCTGTGAGGGTCTGGTGGTGGCCGGGGTGGGGGGGAACAGTCAGCTAGAGGGCAGAGCTGAGCCCGTGGCGCCCGGCTCCACACGGGTGAGGGACTCAGGGCGTCCTTGCAGGGAGGGCGTTGTATGTGCAGTCGCATCACAAGGAACTGAGATTGAAAAGTGACCAAGCAGAATCTACCCCTGCAGAGAAAGGCTGCGGGGTGACTGTCTGCGAGTCTGACTCCTAATTCTCCATGTTTTCTCTCTAGGAAACCATATCACCCCAAACTGGAAGCTTTCGTTAGTCACATGGCAAAAGGATCTGGAACCTCTTTTGAAAGCCCCTTGAATTCCCTGCCTCTGTTCCCCAACCACCCTCTGTGTGAGATGGGAGAGCTCACGCAGACAGGTAGGTGTGACCGCCACCCCTCCAGGCCTCCCTCCCGCCCTCCTATCCACAGACGCTGGAGCCAGTATCCTGGGTGAGGAGCCAGGGGGTTGGCGGGGGGGCAGGTAGCAGTGCGAAGAGCTTAGAGGCTCCAGGGTGTCTGATGAAACATCTGCTTTCTTCAATTAAAATGATCTTTCTTCTTACTATGTGTTTCCAAAAAGAAATTACAAAAGACAACAAAGCAAAAGAAAGCACCCCCCAGAATAGACCCTGAGTAGTAATCTTTCTTCTTGTACTTAGGTGCACATACATGCATGAGTGTCTTTTTCTTTTTTTTTTTTGGTCTTTTTTGAGACAGGGTCTTGCTGTGCAGTTCAGCTGGCCTTGAGCTCACTTTTTAGCCCAGGCTGGTCTCAAACTCACAACGATCCTCCTGCCTCACCCTCCCGAGTGCTGGGATTACAGGCCTGCGCCACCATGCCTGGCATGAGTGTCTTTCTAAACCACTTTTCATATAAGAATATATGGGGATCCTCTCTCCCTGTCTCTTAATGTTCACCCACAGCATCACTGTGATGGCTGCTTATTACTGCAGTAAGCATGGGCCATAATTTACCTAACTAATCTCACATTCTGGGACTTAATGTACAAGGTCTCAGGGAGACAAATGCATGGCGGATTCCTGCTGTGCCTGGAGTCTGAATGGCCGGGTCAGGTCCTCACCGAGCTTTACCCCTGCAGCCTGGTTGTACCGCTGTGCACCCAGTTAACTGTGGGGTCACCTTTCCCGGGAATGAAGGGACAGGTGGCTCCCCAAGAGCTCCAGGTGCCTGGTGCTGCAGAGTGGAGTGCCAGAGGACCTTTGCCGGGTCACCAGCCTTTGAGAGAAAGCGAGGAGGAGCAGTCGCCCCGCTGTTTTCTTGTTCCATCAGCATTATGGGATCTCAGTTTAGAACGAAGGGCATCCCTGTCCTATAGTTGGCCCTACTGGGTCTAGCCAGGCTTCCCAAAAGCATAATTATTGGGGGAATGATGGTGGGCAACAGGCCGAAGGTTCTGGAGGATTAGCTTTGGCCGAAGAGTTGGTTAGAAGCCTCTGGGAATGAGTGCGACACCCATGAGCTCTGTGTTAGTTTAGAACAAGGGTTTTCATCCTACCATATCCGGCACCCCCTTTCATTCACAAGTGTTCACAAATATTGTATTCTCCCTGGGCTACCCTGAAGTGAAATTTCAGTATAATAGAACTATTTTATATCCTTAATTTTTTTTTTTTAGAAAAATTACATCAGATATCCTGTAACAAGCAAAAGAAAGCATTTATTTTTTTAATTCGGTGTGTCTCAGCATCCATGCTTGGGAATAGCTATGCTAGAACATACAGTAATCAAATGTCTGCTCCGGACTGTGACAGCCACAGACGCAGGTGACTGAGGGATGTCAGATTAGTGACTCTAACACTACGTGTCAGTTTGTGGTTTTTCTGACAAGTTCTGCTCAAAACAAAGTACAGATGCCCCTTGCATTGCGTTTCTAGAAATTCAGTGGATATTAAAATTATGCAGGAATAATTTTATGTTTATAGCCACTAGAAAAACAGCATTCGGTTCTAGGCTAAACCATTCAGTCAGCTTTTCACCGTGGGAATGTCTTGTGTAACATTCAGAACTCACGTGGACAGAGGGCGCTGGTCCCACGTGGAGACTGCCTGGACCCGGTCCCACCTACTATGTGCCAGGAACACCCTCCCTGTATTATTGTGGAAATCTCAACTCCCCAGCCCAGAACTGCAGGTTACAGCCCCTGATTATAAATAACACCAACTCAAGTGAGATTGGAAATTTTTAAAGGAGATTTGGGATGACTCAGTTTCCAAGGGCAAGAATGTGACCAGGCGTCCAGAGGCTGGAACTGAGGCTGTGTCATCTCTCTCTCCCTGTTGCTCTGGCTTTTCGCTGTACCTGCTGACACAGCGGCAGTCCTAGCCATAGCCAGAGATGAAGTAACAAGCCCCGCTTCTTGAGGGACTCAGACTGGGGTCCTCTGAGGTTCATCGGCTGTGGTGAGGAGTCAGAATGGGGTGCAGCAAACAGGGTAGAGGGGGTCTGAGAAGTTGGGAGGAGTCCACGCAATTAGAGGTAAATCATTCATTTGGACTTTTCAAATGATCTATAACCATCTTCATTTTTCTAAGTTAGTATTTTACTCTAGAAGTCATTTTTTTTTTTTTTTGGCAGTTCCATTTATTCCCATTGCTATGATCTTTTTAATGGTCACTTTTATCTTCTATTTTAAATATCATTAAAAATGCATAGCTGTCATAATGATCTTTTTTTGGGGGGGGTTCTTTTTGAGACAGGGTCTCACTATGCAGTTCAGACTGGCCTTGAGCTCACTTTGTAGCCCAGGCTGGTCTCCAACTCACAACGATCCTCCTGCCTCAGCCTCCCGAGTACTGGGATTACAGGCGTGTGCCACCACGCCTGGCTATAATGATCATTTATAACTGGCACGACGCGTCACCCCACAGTGCCTCCTTGGCTCAGAAGGCCTCGGCAGTCCCTGAGCACAGGAGGCGGCCAGGCCAATAAAACCCTCCCGACCTGACCGCCCCTGTGCTACAGTGAAGACAGCTGTACTGCTGGAAGCCGCAGGGCCTCAGAGAATTGGCACAGCCTGGGGCCGACAGTCCTGTGAAACAGGGCTGGTGGGGGATGAAATCGGAGAGCCCTTGCAGAGCGGCTCGCACAGTGCTAGGCTGTGACATGCTCTCAGTGAACACAGCTAACACTGCCGTGGGAGAAGTACACCAGACCAGGAAGGAACTGCGAATCTGACCCCGGAGAGGGTGAAGGAAGGCTCTGCAAAGACGGCTGTGGGCCTCTCTTGGCAGAGGGAGAGAGCAGCATGAACTGGGTTGTGTGAACGTGGAGTGTGTTTGGAGAGGGTAGAAAGCCCTCACTGGCCAGAACTTAGAGGGAGTCGCTGTGAGGAAGGACTAAAAACGCCAAATCGGGGCCAGATCAGGCCTGGAGTTTTGCCTCTGCCATTTTTTTTTTTTTTTTTTTTTTCAATCTTTTTGAGATAGGGTCTCGCTATGTAGTCCGGGCTGGCCTTGAGCTCACTTTGTGGCCCAGGCTGGCCTCGAACTCGCAATGATCCTCCTGCCTCAGCCTCCCGAGTGCTGGGATTACAGGCGTGCACCACCACACCCGGCTTATGCCACTTCTTAACTGTTCCTTGGCCTGTCTTTGGGCTTTTGTGGGAATTACATGAAAAATGCCTGGCATACAGTAAGCATTCCACCTGTGATATAGTTTGCATGATGTAAGATAGGCCCGGAGGCAAACTGGTGTCCGACCCGGATTCTTCATTCTTGTCACTTGCGATTTGCCTCCTTTTGCAAATCATTGTACGGACGCTAAGGCTGGTCCCAGCTGGGTCTCGGGGGGGAGTTCTGCTCTTGGGTGCCTCATTCAGAGTGTGACAGGCATCCTGTCTGGCTGAGCTAAGGACGTGGCTCACAGAATCTGGGCCGGTTCTTTCTCTCTGTCTCCTGACTTTCAGCCCGACGCACCTCATCTTGCCGTGGAGTTGCCCAAATTACTTAGACATCCCTATAAATGGCGTTAGCGGGCACAGGGCCCGTGTGTAGTCAACACTTTCAGCGAATTCACGTGCACTGCTGAGATTGCCTCCCTGTCCTGTGGGCTGAAGCATAAGCTTGCTGTTATCTTCCATTCCCTTCTCCTGCTTGGGTTTTTCTTTGCTTTAAAGTCTATTTATTATTATACCATGGTAGCGTAAAACTAAAATGAGAGTAAAAGGTATTTAAAATTCTTGCTTCTGCCCACATCCCACCACCCTCTCTTCTGTGCCCGCAGCATCTCCAGGAAACCACTGACATTCGTTTCTTCTGCTCCTTCCAAAGTTTGCTCGCACCAAACGTGGGCAACTGCAAATACACCTTCTTCTTTTCTCCTCTTTTTATTTGAAAGGAGCAGAATAAGCATTCTCTTCTGCAATTGGGTTTTTTTTTTTTTTTTAAATAAAATATATCCTATCTGGGGATCTGGAAGCTTCTGGAGGAACCGGAGAAGCTGCTTGCGGGGCTATGCAGAATCTGTCACCCAGGCGGTTAGCAGAGAAGCTTGGGTGGGCAGTGTAGGGGAAAAGAGGTCACACAGGGAACGCCCCAGCAGTGAGAGGACTCAGCTACAAGCACGTAACTGACAGTCGCCTCCGCCTGATGGATGTCACAGAGCCCTCCCTGCACAGCGGGGACTGTGTCCCTGCGCGGTGGGCAATGCTCACCGCAGGCCCGTGCCCGTCACAGCCTGGATACCCAGCTGGGCGAGTCCTACTCCCTGTGCCCTTCCAGTCCTGATGCTTTCTCCAGAGAAAGGGCAAGTTGAACAGGAGGGAGGGAGGGAGGCAGATGGTCCTTCGGCGCCCCACAAAGGCCGTGCCCCAGTCAGCTCACCCCTTTACAGACACCCCCACCGTCCACAGGGCAGGGAAATGAGCTTCATTCCGTTGTCTTACTGGCACTGGCGCGACTTCTTGCTGTCCCTGCGCCGTGCCGGGGGGTAAGGAGAGCCTTGTGTCACCCTGTGTTGCAGGAGTCGTGCAGCATTTGCAGAATGGCCAGTTGCTGAGGGACATCTACATAAAGAAACACAAGCTCCTGCCGGTCGACTGGTCTGCAGACCAGGTTTACCTCGAGACCACTGGGAAGAGCCGCACCCTGCAGAGCGGGCTGGCCTTGCTCTATGGCTTCCTCCCAGATTTTGACTGGAAGAAGGTTTATTTCAGGCACCAGCCCAGTGCCCTTTTCTGCTCTGGAAACTGTTACTGCCCACTGAGAAACCAGTATCTGGAGAAGGAGCAGCGTCGTCAGTACCTCCTGCGGCTGAAGAACAGCCAGCTAGAGAGGACCTACGGGGAGATGGCCAGGATCCTGGACATCCCCACCAAGCAGCTGCGGGCCGCCAACCCCATAGACTCCTTGCTCTGCCACTTCTGCCACAACCTCAGCTTCCCCTGCACCAGAAGCGGGTGCATCGACATGGGGCACTTCAAGGCGATCAAGATGCATCAGATAGAGGATGAGAAAGAGAGGCGTGAGAAGAAACTGTACCTCGGGTATTCGCTGCTGGGCGCCCACCCGATCCTGAATCAAACTGTCAGCCGGATGCAGCGTGCCGCTGAGGGGAGGAAAGATGAGCTCTTCGCCCTCTACTCTGCTCACGATGTCACTCTGTCGCCAGTTCTCAGTGCTTTGGGCCTTTCAGAAGCCAGGTTCCCAAGGTTTGCAGCCAGGCTGATATTTGAGCTCTGGCAAGACAGAGAAAAGCCCAGTGAACATTCGATCCGGGTTCTTTACAACGGAGTTGACGTCACATTCCACACGTCCTTCTGCCAGGACCACCACAGGCGTTCCCCCAAGCCCATGTGTCCTCTTGAGAACTTTGTCCGCTTTGTCAAAAGGGACATGTTTGTGGCCCTGGATAGCAGCAGTACTAATTATTACGATGCATGCCACAGGGAAGGCGTCTAAAGGGTACATGATACAGCACTGCAGAGCCTATACCAATACGGAAGGCAGGGAAGAGTCCACTTCTAATTTTATGTGTTGCTAAGCATATAAGAGTATTGACTTTTAAAGGCCAAAAATTATGTTCGGAAGCCGTGTAGGTGGTTGGGGCTAAACAACAAGCGCATAGCTGTAATCTAGTACGTGAGTTTCTCGGTACAAAATGGCCAGTTTATAGAGAAAAGAAGGTACTTGATCATAGCCAAACTTGGCTTCCAATGCCAGAAGAATATTCATTACCCAGAGTTGCCAAGCCAAGTTCATATTCTTTTGGCCTGTCATGGAACCAGCAAAACCTCAGCCAAAATGTTCTTAATCTTGAATCTTTTTACCTTGTCCTTGTTCAGTGAAAAATTTCCTGCAGTGATTTATCTAAAACAGAGGTCGGTAATTTTTTTTCTGTGAGGGTCCACAAAGTAAATATTTCAGACAGTGTAGACGCCACTATACATGCACCTCCAGCACTTTGAGAACCAGTTAAATACCAAGGATTATTCAGTGGCTCCTCCAATAACAGCTGCTAGCAACACAGAATATAATCTGCACCTGACACTACAACACAACTCAGTGGGGAATAAACATTTGAATCAGACCGAATCATAGGAATATGATTAGAATAATACTTGACGCTTATGATGATTGTGGTACAAAACAGTTTTAAGTAGGTTTCCAATATTTGTCTGCTGTCGTCTATTTGCTGTATATGCTGAAATTTTTGTATCCCATTTAGTATTTTTATAGTCTAGGAAAATATTTTCTGAGATAAGTTTTAGATGTGCTTTTATCCCTGTATAGTAATGCTCAATTTCCTGTACCTGCTCGGTGGTTGGAAGGAGGCCAGAAGCTGAATTCAGGTACTTGTTTCCAAGAAGACTAAGGATGGCTCATTCCTTTTGACAAGCCATCAAATTGGATCGATTTTTAAACCGTTTTCATGTGTTTCACGTGGTAAATTCCAATTGATTTTTAATACATTTTTAGAAGAACTTTGTTACTAGATGGTTAAATAATATTTCTAAGGTATTTTATATATTAGGAGCAATTTAATTAAATCTGTGACTTCTGAATGAATGGTGCTAGTTCTCTCCAAGGAAACGTCAAACGTGCAAGTGAGAGCCTCCGGTGGCAGTGGCGTCCCCACCCCATCTGTTCGTTTTTTTGTCCAGTGTTGCCTTGGGACGTGTCTGTTTCTATAAATAAATTTTTGAAGAACACTTATCCTGTACAAGGAATGGTGTGTGCGCAGAAGTCCTTCCCGTTCTTTCCAGGTGAGAAACGGCATTTTGAAATCTTATTTGAACTGCTTTGGTTAGTGCTGAAAATCATATTCTCTCTCAAGTATTTGAAGCCTACTCAGGTCTTCTGCTCCCACGCACAATATATCCAAATTGGAACTGCTAAGCACGGCTTGAGGATTTAAAAATAAAATTAAGTCTGAAGACTTTTTAAATAAATTTGTAAGGTCTGTAGGTAAAAAGTAAGTATTTTGGCTAACACCAAAAAGTATAGATAAAGGTTTTGCCTCCTAAAGTGTCAGGTGTGTACAACATTAAAGCACGTTCCTCAGTATTGAATTCTGAGCCACTTGACCCCGTAGCAGACACTCATTGCTGAGCTGAGAATAAGGGACAGCCCTGGACACATCAGGGTGTGTAGGTATGTATGTATTCAGCTTCCTTGTTTTTACAATTAAAATTAATACACACACAACTGGAAAATACTACTAAAAAACAACATCAAAAATGAAATTCTTTTAGAGAGGAAAAAGCAAAACTCAGACTCTTTTACAATGTGCTACTCAAACCAGATGTGTGGGAAGTTTTTCCCACACATGCACACAACAAGGAAGCATTTCTGAACCTGGTGTCATCTAATTTAATACTGTCCTGAAATGACCTGCCTGGAGAGAGTATCAGACCCAACAGGTTGAGGGCTCAGCCCCAGGACTGCTGCCCCTACACACACACACACACACACACACACTCTCTCTCTCTCTCTCTCTCTCTCTCTCTCTCTCTCTCTCTCTCTCTCTCCAGATGCCAGTCACAAACCTCAGGTCGTGTGCTCGCTTCGGCAGCACGTATACAAACCTCAGGTCGTTTCTGCTTCTGCCTGATCCACCGTAAATGGGTTGCCAGCACCCTCTCTGCATTTAACTGATATGCTCAAGTGGCTCACAGAACTTAGGGAAGCACATCTGCTGGCTTGTTATAAAGGACATTACAAAGGATACAGATAAAAGGTGTGTCAGGTGAGGTGTGGGGAAACGGTGAGGTGCACCCATGTCCTATCTGGGTTGTCACCTTCAGGAACCTCCGTGTGCTCAGCTATCTGAACTCTGCTTTTGGAGTGTTATGGAGATTTCATTGCATGAGTGTGATTGATTAAACAATGGATGATCAATTTAATTTCTCCCTTGTGCAGAGGCTGGGGTAGGGCTGAAAGCCCCAAGACTTTTTTTTTTGAAAACCCCAACTCTTATCCTGCCTTGGTCTCTCCGCTGACTAGCTCCCATCCTGAAGCTATGTAGGGGATGCCTGCCTCTACTCACATCACTTGGTATACCACCAAGATACTGTTACTTCAGAGCTCTCAAGGATTTTAGAACAGGATGAACACCATGTACATTTCCCACAAACTCTAATTCCCACCTCTGGTCACCTATTTGGCAGATATTTTTCTGGAAATTTTCCATACAGGTATGAAAATATCATTTTAAATAGAAACAAGATGGTTTTATAAAGTTCTGTGACTTCTGTTAAAAACATATTTTAGTTAAACTTGTTTCCCTTAACAATATCTTCTGAAGGTAGTTCCATTTTTAGACAGAGCTCCTATTATAGCCACTGAATAATATTTCATAATGTGGATTAAACATATTTTTAAATCTCATTAAAAATGCTTGAGACTTAAAACCAACACACTAAAATAAGATTGCAAGGCTTTACATCGAACAGAAAAGAGGCCGACAAACACGTTGACTTTCCAGTCCCACTGAGCACTTAACCCTTTTTCATCACAGCCGCGGGTATTTATTGATATAAGTATTTGTTCCCCAACAGAATTGTGGAACTTAATTACAGGCTATTAACAATTAATAGCCTAACAAACATTGCTAAGCCAGTTTGAGGGTCTTTGTAGGAACAGCAAAATTAGACCTTCTAGAAGATCTGGGTCTCAAAGACCGATGCGGGAAGGACAGGGGTGCATGCTCCCGCCTTCCACCAGCCCTGGCTGAAGTGAGTATTGCCTTTCTGCATAAAACATGACCACAAATAGAACGTGGAAGACCGTGGGGCCTGGATACCAGTTCACTCCCATTGCCAAGGCTACCCACTGAACGTTGAGATTATAGCCCTGCCTTTGTGCCTGCCCTGAAGCCAGCTCAGATAAGTAACGAGAGACGCTAAGGGAAACCACAAGTTCATCAAAAGGGCTGGTCAGTGCGTCCGCCTCTGACTCCTACTGCTGGCTGAGACAGGCCTTGGCGAGGAAAAGGAGTCACTGAGAGGCCCGCACAGTTCCTCTCAGAGCTGCAGGGCCCTTGGCCTGGCTTCTGGATGACTGTCAGTGGTGAAGGTGCCGCTTGAGAATTCCCCCTCCAAGGGCTCCACAAATCCTCCCAACACCAAGGAAAGGCTATTCCTCCAATACAAAAAGGAAACGGGCTCAGGATTGATGGGCCTTCTCTAAAGCAAGAGTCATAGCCCGCAGTCTAACCAACTTGACATGCTACCAGTGAATTTTAAAGAGTGCTTGCCGTGAGATGCTGTGGGAACGGATCATTTCATTTACATTATTCCATTGATTCTTTCCCAGGTACCACACTTGCTGGTATCAATGAAGAATAAAACATAGTAGTGTTTCAGAAATTATTAAGTCTGAATGGTTAGAAATACCCCAATTTTGCCTCTATCTATGGCTTGCTATTTTTGTTAAAACTATGGACAGCAACATAAAACCATTCTCCGTAGCGATGCTATATTTGGCTCAACCACTAGAGGGCAGCCTCAAATACAATTTTAGTCCTCAGGGCCCCCAGTCTTGCATCTGCAGAGGCAGGACGGTTGGGACGTTTTAATAGGTCAACTAACTGTCCCAATTTGCCTGGCACTGAGAAGTTTCCACAGGGTGCAGGGTTTTCAGTGCTAACAAGTGACGGAGTCCAAGGCAACCCGGAAGAAGTGGTGAAACTAGCGTTACACGCTACTGTCATTCTTGCTTTCAAGAAAGGGGAAGCAGGACAGAGGGACTTGTCTAGGCGTGGCGTGGCTGGCTGGTATGTAGCAGAGCTGGAACTCAAGTCGTGTCCACTTAGTGGGAGAACCGAGTGCTTAAGCAGGGTATATGATAACCCCTCTCTACCATTTAGATCTATTTTCGGTGCGATGCAACAGAAACCCGATTGCAGCGGCTTAAGTGAGTAAAGACCGTTTTCTCCTCTGTCTCCACAACACCATCAGATCCAGATTCCTCCTGACATCTGATGGACCGGAAGGGATGGGTCGCGTGGCTCACCTCCGTTGTAAAGGAGTGTAGGGTCATTCCAAACAAAACAAAGCCAGGCTCCACTTCCAAAGGGGGAGAGGAAGTGTGGACGCTGCGTAGGGCCTAGCAGTGAGCGCCTCTAGCAAAGTGCTGCGCAGAGCTGAGGGTGTGGTGGGCGCTGCGTCACCAGACACCTCCGCTTCACAGCCTCTTTCCCCGACTGCTGCCAGCGCTCAGCTGCCCGCGCTTTCCGGGGCTTGCTGTGGTGAAGCCGCAGGCCCAAGGACAAGCCTCCTTTCCAGGGTAGCCACATTCACTGGTAGTCACAGCGGGGATTGAAAAGCTCGCGTCAGAGCTCAACAGGCAAGAAGGCCTTATGATGCATCGCAGCCCAGCTTCTGCCTCAGAGGTGGCTTCCTGGGAACAGCGCAGGACAGGCAAAGCCTGCGGGCCAAGCTCTCCGCTTGCCCGGGCAGGAACCCTGGGGACATTTACAGGAAAGGGATAATATATCTACTGACCAAAAACTCCTCCTGCAGTCACTGCCTTTGAAAGGCCTACCATTTTGTTTTGGAACCTAAATACAGTCCACTTTGTGGGTACAGATTCTACCCTCCTCAGGGTCCATCAGCTGCAGATCAAAAATACTGGGGAAAAATTACATCTTCCCTGAACATGTACAGATATTCTTTCATGTCATTATTCCCCAAACAATGCAACTGTTTACATGTAATTTCCATTGTAGTAGACATTATAACTAGAGATAATTTAAGGTATACAGGAAGATGCTCATACATTATATACAAACATTATGCCATTTTTTATAAGAACTTGAGAATCCACAGATTTTGATATTATAATGGAAATTTCTTATTATAAAGGAGTCCCAGAGCCAATCCCCTGTGCATACTAAGAGAAAATTGTGTGCATGTAGGAAGGAGTAGGAGAAATTTTATTCTGCATGGTTCACAGTCAATTACAGAGGGCTCTTATACCATGGCTTACCATTTAATAACCATATACCATGGACTGGACCCTGAGCCAATCCTTCAAATGACACAGGCTGTGTCTTGCACAGTGTAAGTCACCATCTAATACAGACATTTGTTACCCCCATCTTACAAGTAAAGAAACTGAGGCACAAATGTAGCCAAGATCTCATAGACAGGAGGGAACAGCAGACTCGGGCCGGAAACCTGGATTATCCTAGAGCACAAAGTCTTCCGGGCCCCTCTAGCAGAGCACTGCCTCTGCCCCACTGCTCCTGCCCTAACACTGGAGCCGTAATGGGTCTGCTCACAGGGGCGATCTGCTCCTGCAGCTGGTTATGGGTATTTATAGTTCTAGCTCCTTTTGTTTCTTTTCCCGTTTTTTTCTAATGTAATATTTTCAGGCAAGTGGGATCATCTCACAATAGATGGTCTTAGCGTGGGTGCTCATAAAAGCAGAGTCTGAGGGAGAAAAGCTTAAGTGTGGGTAATTGGTTAGTGTGATCCCAGGGAGCAGGAGTGGAGGACGGTAGGAAAAAGTGGGAGGGAAAGCCGACGTACGGATGCACATGGAGCTGGCCGACTCGAGGGTGGCTGGTTGCACCACCCCACAGCGCCTCCCGAGGACCTTACGAAATATGTCTCACGACGGCTCAGTTGGGGGAAGGAAGAGGGAAACATTTATGCACTGACTCCATGCACAGTGCCTCAGAGAAGCCGGAGCGCAGGAAGAGAAGCAAGCTGCTGTCAGGCAAAAGCCTGCATGGGCCCGGTCACCACAGCGGCGGCTGGGGAAAGCCAGTAAGGACTGGAAGGTGGGCAGGACCTATGTGTGACATGTGGGATAACCCCGTACTGGCTGAGCTGTAATGGGCCACGCACTGTGCTGAGCTTTATATGCATAACCCTGTTCCATTTTCACAGTGATTGTGAGACTGAGGAATATTGCTATGATCCACATGTGTAAGGTGGAGAAAGAAACTCAGAGGAGGTTATTTGCCTGGTCCTTACAGCTGGGAAGCGGCAGAACGGGAAGTCAAAGCCGCCCCACTCCTGTGCCCTAGCTTATAATCGCTATGCCGCGGCAGTTAGCGTTTCTCATGGGTCCTATGTGGTATGTGTGGCAGCTTGGAAATACATACTAGGCATGTCTCTGGCAGCTATAGATTGCATAGGACATGCCCATAAATTCATGGCATCATAAAACAAACCATATCATGCCTTGTTCACAACCCTTCTGTAACCCTTCACTGCCTTTCAGATAAAAATCCAAGCTCCCTGAAATGACCCACAAGGCCCTTCCTGGTCACCTTTCCAGCTTTATCACTTGTAGTTAGTACAAGGATGGAGGAGCTGTACATGGACGTGAGTGGCTGACACACTCCCTGCATGTCTGCAAGAGAGCAAAGGACCTTAGTGTGACCGTAGGATGTCAGACATGCAGGACCTCTGACAGAACCGTGACATCCAGAGCAGCCGCAAATCTGCCTGGGACCCCAGCAGCCTCTCGGCACTGCACTCTACCCCACCCCACCCCAGTGGCTTGAAAACCACACAAATCAAGTTCAAATCCAGTTCTCTATTACGTCCAAGCTACGGGACTTCAGACCCAGACATCTGGGCTCCAAATCTCGGATTCCTCACCGGCAAACTGGAATGGTAACTCCTGGGACAGAATGTACGTGAAGCTGCAGCCACGCGGGCACCTTGACACGGCCAGAGCTGCTGCTGTTCTCCAGTGACTCCTCACTGCTACGGGTCACCAGAACCTGAATGTGTTCCCGCCCCACTAGCTCACCTACACGCATAGCGCCACCCTCTGGGCATAACTAGGAGGTACAGTTTCCTGGGCACATGCACTTGCCGCTGGCATTGAAAAGATTTTGCGTTTCTTGAGTTCTGCTTTTGGGCTCAGCCTTGTTTGCCACCTTGCAAACACCTAGGTAGTCAGTCCCCGTGGGAGCTCATCCTTCCCCACATTTCCTTCGTTACCTGTGCCGAACCTCCACCCTTCCTGCTTTGGTTAGAGTTAGGCAAAGGAATGGAAGCCTGGAAGCTTTAAGCTCCTCCCTGGTTCACAGAGAAGCTGAGGAAGAAGCAACCCGGACATGATCTGTGCCTCCACTGAATATATGCTTTATTGAGTTACCCAGGCTAAGGCACTATGGTATTGCAGCCTAAATAAATTAGAACAGGGGGCTGCCTGGCAAGCGCAAGGTCGTGAGTTCGGTTCCCGGTACTGGAGAAAAACCAAAAAAAAGAAAAAAAAAACAAAAAAAAAAAAACTAGAACGGGGGAACCAAGAAGTGAACATTCTGATCACTTCAAGTGAGGTTCCTAACCAGGGCTCCACAGATGTGTTTCAATTTTTCTGTCATAATAGTGTGACTATAAAGACGTCTGTTAATACAGGAAAAGGAGTGACAGCTGTCATTGGATTCTCAGGAGAATCCGGGACACATAAACTATGTTCAGAACTTCTCCTCTGGAACAGCCTCAGCAACAGGTCAGATAAGCAGAGCCCTGGTCTGAATTCTTCAAGCCCCGTTTCTTTCTCCTTCCCATCAGCCCAGTGTAACAAGAAGGGGACTACCAAATGTCAGAGAGGAAAGACAAAAGACAGCTGGGTGTGACGTTTCCACAGTCATTCTAAGAAATCAACCTGGATTATTCAACATGGGGGCCACACTTAGCCCAAGATGGCAGAGAATCTTTAACCTGAGGTGGATACATTTATCAGGAACTTTGTTTGTGGCAGGGAGTATATGTGATCATAAATAGCTATGTGCTGTTTATATTTACACACACGTGTGTTCACAAGGTGTCTTAGTCTGTTTCCTGATACTATATCAGAACACCAGAGCCTGGCAATTTATAAAGAAAAGAAATTTATTTGTTCACAGTTCTGTGGGCAAAAAGTCCAAGACTGAAAGACCACATCTGGTGAGGGCTTTGATGTTGCACCATAGCATGGCAGAAGACTTCAAGACATTGAAACGGCAAGAACAGGCCAAACTAACTTTAACTGCAAATGCACTACAGAGAAAATTAGCCCATTCCTGAGTAACCATTTTAATCTATTCACGGGGCTAGAGCCCTCTTCATATAATCACTTTTAATTAGGCACCTCTTCCCAACACTATTGCATTAGGAGTAAAGTTTCCAATTCATGAACTTCGGGGGACACATTCAAACCATAGCCCAAGTGTAGGTATAACTGTGAGCTGTGTAGGTATGAGCACGAATGGCCTGGGGTCAGTGTCTGTACCTTTAAGTCCTGTGACTATTGCAAACGTGTGCACATCCATATGAAGCTGAGACAGTTATGAATAAGGATGTCACTGCTGGGAATATCTGCAGACATTCTGCTGCACACATCAAAAATCTGAGAATTCTCAACTCCTCCCTCTTCCTGACGGCTCCGCATCCACTCAGTTCGCACTGCTACTATCCACGTGGGCTCTCATCACTTCTCCCCGGACTCACTCGCTCGGTCCCCAGTGCCACCACCCTGCGGCCCCACGAACCAGCAGCCACGGCGGTGGTGGCAAAATGAAACTGGGGTTAGATACCTCTCCTGAAGTGAACCATAGCATTCACGGTCCGGGGTACCACCCATCTCCTCCGTGTTACTCTTTCGGGGTTCTTTCAAGGTGGCAGCCCTGCTCATTGAGATCTGAGCCCTCTTCATCTGGAATCTTTCGCTCATGGACTCGTCACCCCCAGTCTGGCTCTATCCTACACCCCAAGGATCTGACTCCAAGCCTAGTCCTCTGGCATTTATGCTCTATCCCCACGTCCCTGCCACGGAGATTATCGCATGCTTCCGTAAGAGTCAGGTCTCGAGCGGACAAAAGCCTGTCATGTCTCATTCCGTAGCAAGACTAAAGCAAGCCAGGTACAGGGGATCACACCTTATTCCAGAGCCATGGACCCATACAAGACAGGGCCATCGATACGCGCGTGCGCACAGGAAACAGTTGGAACTACGACTCCCAGAATCCTCTGGACAAGGACTACATTTCCCAGAAAGCTTCGCGAAAAAAAAAATCCGAACCGGAACTGCAGTGTTTTGGAAAGCGGGAGAGAGTCTGGTGGCGTGGTCTGTTTCTGCAGGCGTGGAGCGACCTCCAGGGGTCGTTAGTGAGTTAGAGAAACAGAGTGTGAGGAAGGAGTCTGATGCAACCCTTCGGATCGTAGCTGTGCCGCGTCTGGATTTTCTGCCCCGTGGGCGTCGAGGCTTGCCTCAGCCTAGCGCTTCTGCCTGCTGCGGCTTTGTTGGCGTTGGGTACATTCTCCCCTCTCCCTCTTGGGTGTGTTTACTGGGTAAAGGCCGGTGGCTGGATGGTTCCAGACCCCCTTTTTTCCAGCCTTGCACTTCCTGTTTTCTTGAAAGAAGAGTCGAGGTTGGCCCCAAGGCACAAGCCACAGGATCCCACACGTGGGTCCCACACGTGGATCCCACAGCTCTTTTGCTACTTCTAGCGCATACTGCATCAGGCGAGAATGCGGGCTTTGCGGGGCAGGCGTGAACAATGGCTGGGAGGGGGAAGATCTGTGGATCCTGGCCTGCTGCCTGTGTTCCCAAGCAGATAACTTTCCCCTGGTCCCCACTAATCCAGCTCATATCCTGGGATTGTAGAGGCGTGAAGCCTCCTTCCTAAGACCTTCTGCTCCCGTCTCATCCCTTAGACTCCAGCCTATCTGAGGGGACCTATTTTCACCTTTCTCCCCCGAAGGCACCAGACAACCTGGCCAAAACAATTGGTGGCAGATGGGAGCTTTTGGAGGAAACGAGAAGAACGGAAAGTCCAAAGGAAAAGCTTCAAGACATGTGAGGGTCTGAAAGTTACTGAGGCAAAAGGGAGGCGTTAAGGTGCAGGGGTAAGGGGTGAGAGGGAATGAGACTCGTTTTCACTGATCACTGAGAAGGAAGTGATCACTGATCAGTGATCACTGATCACTGATATCTGAGAAGGAAGGAATATATGTGTATCACAAAGTAAGAAGATAAAGTCATTTCTCAGAACTATAGTTCTTTATGGGAGATACAACCAAAATAGTAAGTTAGTTTTGTTCTAAACATTTTAAATAAACTGCACACTCCCCTAACCTTTCCTAGGGAGTTAAAACCACTGGTAGTGTATTCTGTGAGATTTCACAAAGGTACCTGGCACTTGCCCCAGGTTGCTTCGTTCCTGGGTCCCTGGGTGAACCTCTGCAGGTCCCTGAGACACTTTTAGGGGATCTACAAGATCAAAACTTTTTACCATAATACTAAATTTTTTGCATTTTTTACTCTATTGACGTTTACACTTAAAATTGTGGACACAAGTGAAACTTGGTACAAATGAATCAGGGCAGTGGCACTAAACTGTGCTCGCCGTTAGTGTATTTTTCACTGGTATATTTGCAGGGGTGATGGGTAGAGAAGCCAGTTTCATTCAACATCCTTAATGTTCATTTTACTCTATTTTGAACCTTAAGTACATGATTTTAATATTCTGTGTGACAAAATGGGAAATATTCACAAAGCAAAGGCTCCACATAGCATTCAGTATCTTGAGGGAAAGCAATTCTGTGGTTATTTTGAGTTGCTAGCTGAACTAGCCCCTTTTCTAGAAAACACCTCTTTTATTTGAATACCAGTATAATTCCTTGGATATAGGTGCTTGGTAGACATTTTCTAAAAAATGAACAAAGTAAGCTCACCACTTAAAGGGAAACAACTGAACTTCTTTAATGCCAATGAGAACATTTGTGCTTTCAAGAAAAGAATTAGAATTTCAAAAAATGTATCTGCCACCCTGTGCTCAGCAGCTTTCTGATATTTAAGCCTTTTTCTAATAAGTTTTTGGGGGCCGTGATTTTAAAATATTAAATAAAAAATGTGCCAAGATTTAGAAGATCTGCACAACTCAGAATATTAGATATCTCTTGTTGAATAACAAATTAGCCCTAAACAGTGATTTAAAACAAACATTTATGATCTGACAGTTTCTGTGGTCAAGAAGTTGAGAGCACTTCTGTAAGTGGTTCTGAGTAAGTTTCTCATGCAGCTGCAGTCAAGATGTCTGATACGCTGCAGTTCGGTAATGGATTGATGGGTACTGAAAGCTCTGCTCCCAAAAAGGCTGACTTACATGGCTGTCGGCAGGAGGCCTCGGTTATGGTTGTTGTTTATATGTCCCCCCAAAGCCTCATGCACTTTTAGATGGGGTTTTTTTCACAGGCAACTGAGTCGAGAGTTTGTAATTGATTCATAGTGCAATGCTGGGATTAAGGGTGCTGGGATTAAGGGTGAATGAGTGTTGGATCAGTCCGCTAACTGGATTGGCACCACCCTAATCTGAGTAGACTGGATAAAATAAAAGGGGCAGAAAAAGGCTTGTTTTCCCCTTCTTGTTCTCACTTGGTTTTTGCTGTCATTTGCTGCCATAAACTATTGCCCCTCTGCCATGTGCCATCTTGCCTTGGACCCAGCTGATTATGGACTGAAACCTCTACAAATTGTGAGCTAAATAAACCTTTCCCCCTTTAACTTTGGGTGTTGGGTATTTTGTCTCAGCAACAAGAGAAAAGTAACTAAGACAGCCTCCTTTCCTTGTTGCCTGTTGGCAGAAGGCTCAGTTTCTCCCATGTGGACCTCTCTACAGGGCTTTGGGTATCTTCACAGTATGAAAGCTAGCTTCCTTCAAAGCATGTGATCCAAGAAAGGGACAAGACAAAATCCTCAGTGCCTTTTATGATCAACCCCCAGTGCTTCTGTCATTCTCCCACATTCTGTTTATTAGAGGAAAGTTACTCTGTTCAGCCCTCAGTCAAGGACAGGGGAATTCGGCTCCACTTCTTAAAGGAATTAATGTGAAAGAATATCTGGACAGCTTTTAAGAACACTCCACTCAATGAGCCATTTTTTCCAAATAACCTATGGATAATGAAGAAGGAGGAGGGAGAGCAGAGGGGAAGAGGAAAAGGAGAAGGACATATATGCATAAAAACTATTCCAATTGCAAAACAGTCTGATGGATTTTTAATATAATAGAATACCAAAGTGTCACTGGTGTAGTTCTAGATTCCACATTGCTACTGACCTTTAAGAAATAATCATTTGTCGAATTTTGGTGTAGTGTCAAAGAAAAATAGCCACAATTATATGAAAAGGTTATTAAAATGCTCTTGTTGAAAACAATATGTCTGTGAGACCAATGTTCTCCATATGCTTTTAAACCCATCAAGCCACATTGGAATGAAGAAACTGAGAATCCAACTATATTGTAGTAAGTCAAACAATTAAAAGAAATTTGTAAGAAACAAACAAAGAAACCAAACAACCTAGCACATTGGTACATTGGACCTTATTTGGCTTTAACACATTGTGTGTGCATTTCCTGGTTCTCTGAATCTGTCCCTGCAACAGACTGTATTTGGGACGTTTAATTTGTACCCTCAGAGTCCCCAGGCCTCTAGCTATATATATGCAATGTCACCATATCAGAATGCTTCCAGTTTAAATCAGACAAAGTCACACGTGCGTGCACACACACATGCAAACACAAGTCTGCATCTGGTTTAGTCTGGTTTACTCTTCCTTTCTCCCCCAGGGTCAGGCAAGATGTCAACATCTGTCATACGTCACTTCATGTGCCAGGCTCTTTCACCTAAGGACTTTGTAAGTATGGATGTCTAGTGACATTCTGCAAACAGCCACACTGAATCCACTTTAGACCTTTTTATAGGAACTCGTATGAGCGCCTTCTAAATGACCCTGTACAACCAAGGCCAAGGCAGCCTGGCTGCGCACGGCTGACTGAAGAGACCCTCTGCCAGTGGGGCTGCACAGGCCCCCTCTCACTGAAGAGCCTGGGGCGATGAAAACAGCTCGTTTCTCTTTCACTTCCTGATAGTGTAATTCTCCAAAAGATAATAAAGTAGTAAAGCTAAAGAATTAAAGAATCCAATTAACAGGCTTAAGTGTATATATGAACAAAACCTGGGCTTGGCCAACAAGGGAGAAGGGGAATGACTAGGGAGTAGGCACCAAAAAAATCTGCTACAATTGTCTGTACCCGTGTATTCTAAAATTTTCCACAATAAAACACTGCAGAGCAGGGTGTGGCGGCACACACCTGTAATCCTAACACCCTGGCAGGCTGAGGATTGCAATTTCAAGCCCAGCCTGGGCAATCTGTCTACTTAGCTAGACCTTATCTCAAAAAATAAAAGAGGTTGGGAATATACCACAGTGTGAAGGTGCTGGGTTCATTCCCTAATTAAAAAAACAAAACAAAACAAAAAACTTTGCCTATATGATTAAAAAAGAAAAAGAAAATATAAATATGAGGTAAAATTGACACATAAAACTAGAAAAGGTAGTCGTACCTTGAGGTATCTGAGACAGATATAGTAGTAAAGGAAGCAGACCCATTTCCTGGAAACCAACTCACTAATTAGTCAGAAGCAGACCCATTTCCTGGAAACCAACTCACTAATTAGTCAATCTACCATATTTACTTCTCTTATGTACAAAATTTACAGCCTTTCATACTGAATGGAGTTCTCTTCATGGTTTTTAAAAATTTCTGCAAAATTTTAGTTACCCAGTATGCTTTATGCCTCTGTGACAACATTTTAAAGAATATTTAGTCTGTTGGGAGAAAATAAGATGTTTAAAAGAAGAAAGGCTAAGAGTTCAAATACCTAAATCAATTAAGACACAGACAAAGGATATAAACAGAAGTCACAAAGTCAGAAATACAATTGACCATAAGAATATGAAAAGACTTTCAACATTAGTAATAATAGCCAAGAAGATATTTCTTTTCACAAAGCATATTATCAGCTAATTAAGGAGTAATAGGGTTGGTCAAGGTGTATCTGATGTCATTCCTTCCATAGAGTTTAGAGTCGGTGCAGATGTAAGTTAGGAGAGTAGCCAAGAAGCACTTGGAGGGCTTGGGAGAAATAAAAACAAATGAAATGGATTAAAGACAACAAAGACAACTGAGAAGGTTGATGAGAGGGAAAGGAAGAAAAGGATGGGACTGGCAGAGATCAGAAATATAAAATGAAAACAACTGGCTTGAGTGAATTAACCTAAGGCCACTCACTGGCAAACAAAACCTGTTAAGATTGAGCAAGGACCCTGGAAAAGAAGGAGGTTTGTTAGCAAACAGGAAACGGTGATTTTCAAAGTAGTACTAACCATGCCTTGTGGCGTTTGTCGACTTCCTCCCGTGTTGGCCTGTTATTACATAGTAGTTTGCTTCTGAAAAGCAGCCTGAGACCTTGAAGGACTTCTTAGTTGTCTCCTCATTGCCTAGTGGTCAGTATTTCTCCCATGTGATTCTAAGATACAAATCAGATAGTTATGCTGTCTTTGTTGGAAATTTCTTTCTCTCTCTTAAAACTTCATGAGTCTTCCCAAATCCTAGAAAAGCATGAAAGGAGGCTGCCTCTGCAGTAGAGTACAGCTAAGCACAGCAGGGTGCATGTCTTAAGCCTCTTCCACCTCACACTTGAATTCAAGTGGACATTCTTTATTTAGGAAGCAGACACTATATGTGTTAGGTCTTTTGGCGCAAGTAAAACAGGACAAAGTAAAAAATGCCTTTATTGCGGGCATGGAGAAGACCACAGAAGAGAAGGAGGATGTGAAGCTTCTGAGGGCCTGGCCAGGAGAACAATGGTATATAGGGCTAGGCTGGGAGTGGGGGTTTAGCGGGCAGTCTGTGTGACAGGCAGATAGTGATCGGGCAGGGGGCGGGAAAAAGGAAACAGGATGTTGTAAAAAGAAAGTAGGAAGTTGTAGTTTGACTGGGGAGGAGGAAGGTGGAGCTTGCCACACGGCCTCCAGTGGCCCACGCCATATTGGCTCGCCACCATGATGATTTAGCAGAATTTTTATTTAGGCAGAAACCCATTAATATGGTCACTGGCTTTCTCTGTGGTTCATACCATTTCCTACACAGTGAATCACAGAGCAACCAGACGGCAAGAATCTGCAGAAGGGAAGTGTTATGAGCTTAGTTGTATCTCTCCAAGATTCATATGTCGAAGCCCCAAACTCAGTATTTTAGAATGTTGCTGTACTTGGAAGTTGGGCCTTCAAAGTAATGATTAGTTTAAAATGAGAGCATCATGGTAGACACTAAATACCACTGGCTCCTTATAAGAGGGGGAAATTTGGCACACAAAAGCCCCACTAAGGGTGTGGGTGCACAGAAAAAAAACACCATGTGAAGAGGCAGCAAGAAGGTAGCCATCCTCAAGGCCTCAGAGGAAACCAACCCTGCCAACACCTTGCTCTTGGACTTCAAGACTCTAGAAATGTAAGAGAATAAATTTTTGTTGTGGAAGCCATCCAACCTGTGGTGTTTTCTTAGGATAGTTCTAGCAGACTCATGCAGGGGCCCGCAGGAGGAAGGGCTTAGGGCTCTGGGAAAATGCAAATTTAAACCCTCCAGTTGACTATCAATGGAAATTACTTCTAGGGGCCTCCTTTGAATACAGAAGAGGTTTCTTCTGTATTCCCATTCCCGTTTTTACTTTTGTTCAGCAAATGAAAGGATGTTCTTACACAACCCTGAAAGTTCTAGGTTAAACCAATGACCAATAGTAATTTGGGAAAAAGAAATTGGAGTATCCGGCTAAGCAGATTGGATCTCTCAGTTAGCATGTCTCCCCCTCCCCCCCACTTAGCCTTGGCGCTGATCTTCATCCCCAGCCCTTTTTTTTTTTTTTTTTTTTTGAGATGGGATTTCACTAAAATGTTTAGTTGCCCAGGCTGGGCTCAGATTTGCAATCCTCCTGCTTCACTCTCCCAGAGAACTGGGATTACAGGTGTGTGCCACCATGCCCAGCACCATGTCTTCTAACTCTGCTCAAGGATGTAGTCCTTGGCTTTGTAGATTCAATGCTTTTTTAATTCAGGTCCCAGTAAATGATTCCCACACTGATTCTAAATTAACTGAACTTCACTGGTTAACAGTAAGAGCTGTATTTGCCAAGAAGGCTCACAGATTCATGGTAGACTACTCCTCACATCTTTTTCCATTAAGAGATAAGTCCTATCAAGAATAGGAGTCCTTCCTATCCACGTCAGACTCATTCTTTTTTTTTTTTTTTTCCAGTACCAGAAATCGAACTCACGACCTTGTGCTTGTCAGGCAGGTGCTGTGCCACTGAGCTAAATCCCCAGCCCAAGATTCTTATTCTTTAGAACTCACTGAGAAGTGCTTTTCCTTGCTTTCCTGAGAAGCACTGGATTTGTCCTGCTCTGATGTCCCTCGTGTCAGAGATACCCAATTTGAGTATTTTAATTAGTTGTTTATGAGTCTGTGTTTCCCATTAGACTGTGGATTCCAAGAGAAAATGGATTATGTCTTATCTATTAATTTATCTTCAGTAGTGTCTAGACCATAGTATATACTAAGAACAAACAAAAAACAGGAGGATGAATGAATAAAATTATGACAACATGTGTCTTTTTTATGAGACAATCTTTCCAAATGGACCAGAGCAGTCATGTGCCAGGCTATCTGTAATGTCTTCCTCCTCAGCTCTTCTAGATTCTTCAAGGACAAGCACCCTTCCTTGAGTGGTATCCATCCTATACCCTTCTGTTTTGTCCCAGTTAATGAATGGTCCTTTCCCTGCTTTCATGTACAAAGAGACCCCTTACTCTTACCACTAAATTATCGCCAAATAATAGCCCAGTGCTAATTATCTTTGGCAGAGCCTGCTAGAAGCAACACGTTTCCTATAGATTATGGTATCTGTGAACTATACCTCCTGACCTGGGCTCCAGATGTTTAACCCCTCTCACGTTTGGGTTTGTTCACCTCTGTCAGTGGGCTATACTCTCCAGGCACTCTACATGGACTACCACAGCCAGATTCTAGCCCAGTTCCATGGGCTAGTATAGGGATTTCAATGGGGTCATGGAGATTGAACACTGGGCTCAAGGAAATCCAGGGACATGAACTCAAAAAGTTGATTGCTAGGCAAGTACAGATAGCCAAGAGTCTCATACTCCTTGTTTGGGCAGGATTGAAGATCTAAGTATAGATGAACCTGACCCTAAAATGTGGATGCGTATAGTGTCTTATAGTCTAGAGAAAGAATTTAGAAAGCAGGTGCCATTGGAAGGTTCTTTGGGCCCTGGTATTCCAAAGAAATGCACCAAATCCATCAGATCCAAGTTTCACCATTGCCTTTTTGCTTGTATAATCCCTACCATCATTCCCGTTGACTGTTTGATGTGCTAATCTCCATGAAGGCGTGATCACTGCTGTATTTCCAGTAGTATTGTGAAGGACAGTGGTACCCAACAAGTATTTGATGAATAGCCCAGGAAATGGATGTGTGATTAGATGTATGCATGGGTGGATGGATGCACAAACAAACCCATAACAATCTATTATACAGCACACATTCCTAGTTCCCACAGCGATTTGTCCTTCTCTCTGCGATAGGTCTCTTTGTCCAGCCACCTGCTCCTTGATGGCCCTGAAAGCCATTAGTCATTGCCTCAAATGGCCTGCCTGGCTCTGGAGGTTAGCTTTTCATTAACTAAACCGTTGCACCACTCACTCCTGGAGCCTTAAATTAATATGGGTTAATTCTTAACTGTTTCCCTTCTGTACATGGCATTTAATGGTTTGCCTTTATCTGATTTTCCCCAATTTCCTGTGCATTTGTGGTTTTCTACAGGAGCCCTCGAGCTGGGGCCTTAGGCAGCCACACCAGATGAGTGTGGGCACTTGAGTTTTCTAGGAGGCCTCTCCTGCTGCCCTGGGTCTCATCCAACTGCTGTCCTCCCATCAGAGGCCATTTATGCTACAAGAGGAAGAATACCCTTCCCAAAGTCAGTTTTTTGGGGAAAAGAAGATATAGCCAGAGCCCCAAAAGAAGGTTACTCTGCAACAGCTAAAGGTCGGTGATATACTTTTCCTTCAACTCAGTAAAACTGTTTGTGTAATCTTTCTTGTTCTTGAATTCTTTTAGTGTGTTTTCTCCCAGTATCCTTTGCAACAGACAAGAAAGAAAGATTCTTAAATCAATAGGCTAAGTTTCATGGACAGTAAGAGTTTATCTCTCATTGACTCTCCAACATTTAGCATAGCGCCTGATGTGATGCTCAGTAAATGTTTGATGAAGGAAGGAAAGAAAGGAGGGAAGAAGGGAGGGCAGAGAGAAGAAATGATGGGAGAATGGGTGTGAATGAAAAGAATGTTAGTGTGTTATTCATAAACAATGTGATGAAATGGTCCTGCTTTCAAAGTTAATCAGGTGTGTTATCACTAATGCTTAGACTCAATAAAGCAATTTAAGTCACTTTACAAAATGAGGAGTATATCTACAAAGAAAAAATGAGAGTTGACAAGCAGAATGACAGCACAAATGTACTCTTTGGAAGCTGCACATAAACAGTAGTGATCATATTTCCAGATAAATTCAGAACTTTGTTATTTTCACAGGCACACAACCAATGGCTAGTTTGTTCTGTGCCTGTGACAATTCTCAAAAGCAAATCAAAACAACCAAAAACTTTATTTTCAGTTAGCAAACATGTTTTATGGTTAAATACAAGCTGATCATGGAGGTTATAGAATTGAGTGCGACTGGTCTGTTTGATATTTAGAAAAGGTTAACTAATCAGAAATGGTCCTCAGAGGAAATTTACAAAAATCTAAGCTTCCTGCTGTTGAAAAAGATTAACCAAAGAGTAATTCAGCAAATGTTCACAAATATTTAATCGTGTGTCGAGGAAAAACATCTCAGTTCAGGAAAAAACAAAGGAATTAGCATTTTTTTCAGTACCAGTTTTAATTTATTTGAGATCATACAACTATACAATTCAGGTCTGGCCAGCCAATTCTGAATAACAGGTACATCGCAGAAGAACACACACCACAGTAAAGACAGCCAGGGAGTGATTAAGACCTAATTTTTAAACAGTTAAATTCTTAAGACTAAGGGGCTATTTCTTCAGCAACCCAGGTAGCAATGTATAGTAAAGCTATGCATATTAGGAAAATTCACTTTATGTTGACACCCTTAGTATGGGGAAAAAATAAAATGTAACCTAGGAGAAAAATCTTAAAAATCTTCAAAGCAAATTCAGAAAACCTCCCCTTTGTCACCAGCTGTGCAAAGATTGCATTCATGTAGCATACGGTTTGCTAAGTTGAGGTGTTTACCAGGGCAACTTAGACTATCGCGATCGGCCCAACTGTATTTAAAACCAACAACCAAACTACCGTTGGTGATGTGCATACCAGTGGCTTGTGATTAGCAAAACCAAAAAGCGTGCAGTGTTAGCTGCTGTGAGCTGTTCCTAAAGTTAGATGCGTAAGGTTTTACATATGCAATCAATTTCACCTGACAGACATGCATCAAAGCCATCATCAGTGGGTCCCAAACTACAGCCAGTGATAAGTTTTGCCCTGTATTTTACCCCTTGTACTGCTGTTTATCATGCTTTCTTCTTCAAATCAAAACATGTTAGATTTAAACATATTCAGAAGAAAATGATGAGTAGCAGTACCTAAAATCATCTCTAAAAGGCATTCTTTGGAAAACACTTACATAAGAAAACGAGGATTTCCAAACTAACTCTACAAGACAGAGACATGCTGGTAGAGAAGTCAGAATCCTTAGAGCGCCTGGGAAAGTGGTGGGTAAATCACATGTTCAGATTACAGTTTGCTCTTGTTGGCTTTATTTAAGAAGCAAGTTAATGTTTACATGACATTGGACTTCAAAGTCCAGACAATAAGGAGGAAAACAGAGAGAGAGAAATGATCCATGTGGGTTTGCTCCGTGCTCCTCCCTGCCCAGCGGAGAGGCAGGGTGGTTGGGAGTGATGAGATGGCCTCTGGAGGGAACTGAAGTAAGGGGTGGATTCTTCTCAGGGTGGAGTTATTTTTCACCAAATCATAAAAATGTATCGCGCTAAGGTATAAGTGCTGTTTCCTAACCCACCACGTTTATTCTTGTTGGACTTTCAGTCTCTCTTTAAAGAAAAGTCCTCTTTTCCACAACCTCTGTATGAAATTCTGTGCCTAACTTCTCTCAATGACAATGCACTCTCTCCTGTTGCCTTTTCATAATGGTAGACCTGGTGCATAGGAACAAATGCTGTTTGCAGATTTTATTGATACACTTTATACAATGAAAAGAGCCTCACTTCAGTGCTGTTTTGGGATATGTCCTTTCTGATTCCTCCCTATTGAGGCAGGTGGAGGGTCACTTTTCCTGGCTTGGTGATTAGGCCTCCGTACACCTAGCAGCCTGCAGGTGGACAAGGCAGGGGGCTTTGCCAGGCGGGCCCTGAACAATTCATCCTTTTAGGCTTGTTTTGAAGGGGACCTCCCCACCTGCAGGAAAGGCACGTGGCCTGTGTTATACAATCTTGTGATGCAGTGTGTTGAGGTGTGCATACTGAGATACACTTAGAAATGTTAAATCCCAGGAAAGTTCTTTTTAAAGTCAAATGCCATGGTTCGCAAGTCAGCGTGTTCTTAAGAGAGTCAGAAGACAGCAAACAGAGATGGATATGTTTCCTTCCTGTTAAAAGGCAAGGTAAGCTACATCCCCGGCCCATCCTCCCCTTCTGAGATAGTTTCCCTAAGTTGCCTGGGATGAGTTTGAACTTGCAATCCCTCCTGCTTCAGCCTCCCAGAGTGCTGGAATTATAGGCACATGCCACTAATCCCCAGAACTGCCAAGAAAGAAGAGAAAAGAAAAAAGAAGGAAAGGGGGAGGGAGGAGGAAAAGTAGGGGGAGGGAGGGAGGAAGGAAGAAAGGAAGAAAGGAAGAGAGGAAGGAAATGAAGGGCAGGGTGAGATTCAATAAGCTGAGTATCCCTCTCAAGGCGTTGGCGCATAACCCACTCCTTCAGGGTAGGCTGCACATGGTGACTCCCTTCCAAAGAGCACAGTATGCAGAAGTGGGGAAGAGCGACTTCACTGAGAAGAAAGCTAACAACGTACCCCAGATGGAGGACTACGTGAACACAGATGACTCTTGCTGCCGGCCTGCCCCTTGACACCATGCGTCATGAGATTCGTGTGATGAGGCTGCACTTTGCTCTGTGGGCTCCCTCTCAAACCCGTAACCCCAGTCTAACCACAAGAAAAGCATTGAACTCACATTAAAGGAAATCCTATAAATACTTGACCATCACTCTCAAAATGCTCTGGCTCATCAAAAACAAGGACAGTGTGAGAAAATTGTCAAAGGCCAGAGTAACCTCAGGAGATGTGTCAGCTCAGTGTAACATGACACACGAGATACCTTCCTAGGACAGAAAATGGAAACTGTTTTAAAATGAAGGGAATTGAATAAAGCATGCACTTTGGTTAATAAGAATGTATGAGTATTGGTTCATTTGTTATAACAAACGTTCTATGCTAATGTAAGATGTTAGCAATTGGTGAACATGGGTGTTGGGTATATGGCAATTCTCCATGCTAGTTTCTCAACTTTCCTCTAACTCTAAACCCAGTCTAAAATGCAAAGCTTTCTTTAAAATCAAGTGCTGAGGGGCTGGGGATTTAGCTCAGCGGCACAGCGCCTGCCTGGCAAGCGCAAGGTCGTGAGTTCGATTCCCGGTACCAGAAAAAAAATAAAATAAAATAAAATGCTGACAACCATGGAAACAACTGGTTTGAAAATGACTCAGTCTCTGCGACTTCCAATATTTCCTGAAAGCCCTTGAGAAACTTTATAACCACATTCAGAACTAGGTTGTACCCCTGATGGCTATAACTGTAAAGTGAATAAGGACAGGTGCTAGTTGAATGGTTTACTACTTGAACTTACTTCAAGAAGAGAAAGTCAGAAAGAAAAGTAAAGTAATAAATCCTCTAATGTGCATGTTCATTCATTCATTCACACGCATCTTCAAGGGCTTGGGGTTAGATATGGAGAACGTAAGCAGAAGACATAAAACAGGCTAATTTCCCTGTGTTACAATGGCAGGTGTGGTGTTGATACGGCTGCCCCAGTCTCTTGAGATATCAATGGAGAATTAGTTCTCGGGCTCCCCCAGGTACTGAAACCCAAGGATGTTCAGGTCCCTTTTAAAAATAGCATAGTATTTACACAGAACCTATGAACATCCTCCCATAAACTTGAGATAATCTCAATTCCTTATATATTTAATATAACAGAAATGCTATATAAATAATTGCTATACCATATTGTTCTGAAAATGACAGGAAGAAAATCTGTTCTTGCTCTATACAGATGCAATTTAAAAAAAAAAAAAACAAGTGGGGTGTGGTGGCGCACGCCTGTAATCCCAGCACTCAGGAGGCTGAGACAGGAGGATCGTTGCGAGTTCGACACCAGCCTGGGCTATAAAGTGAGCTCAAAGCCAGCCTGAGGTGCACAGCGAGACCCTGTCCCAAAAAGACAAAAAAAGCCCTTTTGATCACCATTGGTTAGACCTGAGAATGAAGAACCTGTGGACATGGAGGCCCAACTGTACTTAAATATCTATTGAATTAATTATTAATTTTATAAGTATAAGTGAATTCTTTGTCTTTTTTTTTTTTTTTTTTTTTTTTTTGGTACCAGCAATCAAACTCAGGACCTTGCGCTTGCCAGGCAGGCACTTATGCCACTGAGCTATCTCCCTGGTCCCAGTACAAGCAAATTCTTGATTTTTATTTAATAATAATTATTAAATCTATTAAATATACAGCCTTTAGTTCCTTTTGAATTCTGTTTAGTTTAGTTTAGTGTTTTGTTTTGTTTTTTGAGACAGAGTCTCATTATGTAGTCCAGGCTGATCTTAAACTCACTATGTAGTCCAGGTTACCCTTAAACTCATGGCAATCCTCCTGCCTCAGCCTCCCAAATGCTGGGATTATAGGCATACACCACCACACCTGCTGAATTCTTTTTAACCAGAAAAACTAGCTGGTTCAGATCAGTAACGAGGTGACTGCAGATTTACTATGAAGAGGTGGCATAGTCCAGGGGTTGCTGGAAGGATCCTTCCTTCGGTGGACGAGTCCGGTGCTGACTGCACCAGGACGCCTGGCCTTCCCATCAGAGCTGAGTCACTGGCTGCCACCGTGGCTGACATGCTCTCTGACCGGCGGGCGCCACAGAATGCCCCTGCCTTCACCCAGGGCTTCAGGAATAGACTCCTGGAAATTCTGAGGCAGGTGCTGGGAAGTCCAGGTCACCCTTCCTGCCAGAAAGTCATTGTCCACTAATGGGGACGACCAACAGCTGTCCTCCCCCGTGTCTGCCCTTTCCTGATAATCTCACTCACCCATCCTGTGCAGTTGCTGGGAAGAACTCAATCTCTGGCACCCAAGGACCAGGATGGGGCGGGCAGATGCTCTGTCTTTGTGCACCTGTCCCTACAGTGTGCCCTCCCCATATCTCTGGATTCTTATGAGGAGAGAGAGAAGGAGGGAGAGCATATGTGGAACACTGTCATTTACAATAGTTTCTCTCAGTAGCAGCATCTTTTTGAACTTTCATAAGAGCTCCCACTCCAGCTCCGTCGTATGTGTGTGACATCAAGTCTGGTGCGTCATTTGCTTTGTGTTGGTGTGTGCATCCAAGTAATGGTGACAGAGATGAACATGCGCCTTGTGAAGCCAGCTGGCTTACACCTCAGTCACCGGGTGAGAGTCCGGGTGACCAGGCAAAGGCCTTGGTTAGGTTTGCACATGGAGAATCCACTTCATTCCAGGCAGCTGCTGGACAAAGTCAGGCTGTTGGCTGTGCAGGAAAGACACAGAAAGAAAGAGCAGAGATGAAGGCTGGCTAGCCCAAAGGTGTTACCATCAGGGTGTGTCTGAGGAGAGAACAATATCCTATGCCTCTCCCCGACAGAAGCTGGCAGCGTGGCCCCTTCCAGGGCAGGCTGAACGTGGCCTCTCCCCTCAGCCAGGTCAGCACCGAGGCTCACGCTGGCTTCCAGAGTGACTGTATTTGTACGTGTTCACACACTCAAGTGTTAGTTTTGACGGTTTCAGGAGAGGCTTGAACATGAGGCCATTCTCCAGAGTCCCTGGGCCGCAAGAGTGTCACAGTCGACATGGCTGCAGCTACACGGGGGCAGGGGGTCCCCGGATTTCCCTTCCCTGGGTGTGGGCCGAGGAGAAAGGGCCAGGGGCCTTGAGCTGGCCCGGAAGCTGCTGTCACCAGCTTGTCTGGGGACCACACATCCCTGCTCCTGCTCGGAGAAGCCTCTTCTGGGAAGGCCTGTGAGTCAGGCCTGGGAGTCCTCCGCTGGGTGACTTCGGATGAGTCACACACTTCTTGAAGCCTGACGGGGAAGATGATGCCACTCGCCTTCAGCGATCAGGAAGGCGTATGACCCTTCGGGGAGAGGGGCAGCCTCAGAGCCATGTGTCACCGAGGTTTTCTCGGCGTTTCCCGCAAGCCCATGTCAAAAGCTGCATCTGAGCAGCTTGACATCTCATTTTTGTCTTATCTCACTTGTGTTTTTCGTCACAATGAGATTTTCTCCCCTAAGCTGACTCATTCAGCTCTCTCAATTGCCTCTAAATCGCTTTAGATTTTCCTAACCTGTCACTCAAACCCTAGCTGCTTCCCATTTTCCCGTTCGGAATGCCTTGCTACTGTATCTGATTCTCAGCTAACCAGGCCCCGAGTACACCACGGACATCTGTACCCCTGTTGCTTGTTCTCCTCTGATGTGGGTGCAGCCCTCCTCTCCCTGCAGATTTTACTTTCTCCCCTTGCACAAACCCGCCGAAAGCCTGCTCACGTTCCATCTGCTCTGTGCCACCCTCCCCCACACCTACCCCTCCGCCCTCTCCCACCCTGGAGCCTGGAGCCCGCCCTGTACTGGGGCCCCCTCACTCGGCCTGCGCCGCAGCTGATACTTGTTCACACCTTATCTGGCTGCCTGTCTTTCATGCGGGGGGTGTATTTTACCTTTTGCTGTATTTCCAGAGCTTGGGACAGGCTATCATATACAACAGGTGCTCCATGATATTTACTCTCGATAAGGCTGACAGATCTGCCGACCTGAGCAGTGCCCTAAATCCTTGTTCCTTGAACCCTAGACTTCTACAGGACCTTGCAGGTGCCTTTGGGGGAGGCAGGAAAAAACACAGAGATCAATGCATCATATGTCTTTTCATAGCGAGGTTTCAAGAATCGCTAATTTAATTTTCTTGAAATTTTGAAAACCACTGGACACTACTATCATTAGTTCCATGCCTAGTATGATCAACAGTACAGGAAATTTACTCCTGTCATTAACAAGTGGACCTGTAGTGCAGAGAAACCATCAGAAAAGAAGGTACTGGGGCCAAAGGAATCATTTTACATAGCACCAGGGAAAGGCATTACTTAGACAATGCTCCTGCCCCCATAAAACACAGTCCCCCTCCCCTCAGGTGCTTATATATCTTTTCTCCACATGGGGATAAAGTACTCAGGTAAGGACGAGATCTTGTGATTTCCTTTGTGCCCAACTGCTTCCCAGTCACCATTGGTCCCAACACTCGGCATGCACTACATCCTGCTTGAATGAGCCCTAGTTAACTGGCTAATCCTAACCTGCTGTCCTTGGTTTCTCTACCTGAGGAGTGAACTATAAACAAGGAGGGAAAATGATGCAGAAAAAGCTGGGTGTGGTGGTGCATACCTATAATCCCAGCACTCAGGAGGCTGAGGCAGGAGGATCGTCTCTAGTTGGAGACCAGCCGGGGCTACAAAGTAAGCTCAAAGCCAATCTGAACTGCATGGCAAGACCCTTGCTCAAAAAGACAAAAAAAAAAAAAATACATAAAAAATCCAACTTGACTCCGTACAATGAGCTATCTAGCTATATAGATAGGGAAAGCTAATCACTCACCTCATCTCTCCAAAAATGAAAAACTATGCGAAATCAGTGGTACTTGCACGTGACTGTCCAGGAAAAGTCACTTAGAGAGGTCAGATTCTGAGTCAGAGGCTCTGCGAGAGATCATAAATCTGCATTTCTGCCACTACCACGGCCACCACTGTTATGTCCTCCAGTCCAACGAGGGGCCAAGGTGCAGAGCATTGGGAGGGTGTGTTTCTGGAGGCCTTGATTAGAGAATCAGCTTCAGCATCCCTGCATGTGAACTGTGGATAAAGTAGTCTTCAACTGTGTTTTATGTTGACTGTTGTGAGCATTAAAAGACAATATCTGTAGTGTTTAGAGCTGTGCTGGTGTGGTGGATTGACAGTTGGTGGTCAACTTATAATACCCAGCTGAACTGAGTAAGCGTGGCGCTGGGTGTGGGAGGCCCACCTGGGGATTGTTGCCAGCAGCATAAGAGGCCGAACTGAAGAAGAAAGAGGCTGTTGGGAATTGAGAAAGGCTGTTGGAGCTGGTA